AGAAAAGGAAAAAGAAAAGGAAAAAGAGAAGGAAAAGGAAAAAGAAAAGGAGAAGGAAAAGGAAAAGGAAAAAGAAAAAGAAAAAGAAAAAGAAAAAGAGAAAGAAAAGGAAAAAGAGACAACTGAGGATAAAAACATTGTGAAACCACGGTGTCGTTCGGAATCCAAGACACGAACAACTACGCCGTTGTCATCCATCAAAATCGATGAAAAGCGTATTCCAAAAAGAAAACCGTTGTCGTCTAAAAGTACGTATCTATTTTGTACTTGTTTCTTTGTGCACTTGTACTATAAGAGGTTATATAACTTTTTCTTATCTTAATGACGTTTTCTATATCACAGACTGTTTATGCTTTTAGATATATATACATAAATTAATTAATATAAATCTTTAATGGCCTAAGCACTCGCCTTAGAGTAGACGCGTGCCCAGCTGTGGTACGTATTAATGAGTTGATAAAATCTTTAATAGACAGCCGCTTGGCCAAAATATCATCTGCAATTACCTGTTAAGCGTGATGTGACCTACCATAGTACACGTTTGTCTAAAAAATACCTATTCACTTTAGCCTTGAATAGCCATAATTTGTATTTTTCGGAATTTATTAATATGTTCGTTCATTCAGAGTTTCTATCGAAGATTTATACGGAGAAGGGTTAGACCATAGTCCACCACGGGTGGCTCAGTGTAGGTTGAGGACTTCTTACGTTTTCTAAGGGTTTCTTCGACATTCAGGTTTCATCACGATGTTTACATTCACCGTTAGCGAAAGGCATTACTTCTAAACATTCACAAATGTACGTAACTTAGGAATTAAAGCCATACGCTCTCACAGGGATTCGAACCCTCGACTTTCATTTAAGAGTTAACCATTCTCTCACAAGGCTACCACACCGCTCCGTAATACGCAAACAATAATAATACAAAATTCTGCTAACTTAATTTGAATTCCCAGCAAGTGAAAGTCCCAGCACGAGTACGTCGCGAGCGTCACGAAGGCCACAAGTTTCCACGGACAGTGACAGTTCGGGTCGGGCTTCAAGATGTGGTATCACCAAGAAGATGCAGTGTCGACGCAGCCAGAGCGCTAACTCCGCCAGCAGCGGCAATACCATTGCTTCTAACAGTAGCAAGAGGCCACGGAAGAGAAAAAGTACCGAGTAAGAATGCTGTTTATTATCAGATTTCCTAAAGGGTATTTTAAGATTACGAAATTGACTAATTTCAGTGTATTATTTGACGACTTTGCACCCCGTCACGCCATGCCTCACGAATGGGCGGGAAGCGAACTGCTAAAATTGATAACATGTGTGTGATTATGGATGACAGATGCATAGATTTTGTGTGTAAATGAAATGAAGCGAAAGGGTTGCGGAACCACCAAGCATAGCACACAAACGACGTACTGCTTAGGAGTGTCTTCAACAAGTCTACTACTGCTGTCAAGCTGGTAGGTGTGGTTCTCTCTGGCAAAAGGAGAAATATAAGATCGAATATGAATTAAAACTCAATTTTTTTTGTCATAATGCATGCTATTAGATGCCAAAAAGTCAAAACTGAGAGTTTTTGAGACGTTGTTACAGACGTCTTACGTAAAGCTAGCACGATAGGGCGCGGTTTTCGCAAGAGCGACATAAAGCGCGAGATACTGCTATTCTCAAATACAGATTTCGCGACTTAAGTCGCTCACGCGCAAGTCGCACCCTCTCGTGCTAGCCATAAGGAAAGAATAGTTTATGTTCAGTGATTTGAACGGGTGGGTAGGATGATTAAACGTGGTGAGTAGAGTAAAAAGTGTTTTAGGTTGTTTTGGTGGTAGCATGGTGGGAACATGTATGTCTTCTTTTAATTTATTCGATATTTCGGAACGGTTGCACGCACCATGATCACGAATTGACTGACCAGTGGCAGATGACAGCTTTAAGATCAGACATATCTGTCTACCCTCTTTCTCTGTCGACGGCATCTCGATTACTTGTAGCGTTACCATTGTCACTCACTTTTTTCCAACAAACCACACTTACTGTAACCACACGCGAAACTGAAGTCAAACTATTTTTGTTTTTATTATTGTAAGGACTAAGAACCCGATTCCACGTTTGGTCTTTATGATGTTGATGAGCTTCTCTTGAGAATAGTGAAGATGGATGATTTGACCGTGAAGATGGATTTAAACTATCTAGTGCGTGGAATCCAGTGCGGGGAAAGCGTGTAACCGTTCCAAAATATTGAAAAATCGAAAAGAAATCATATCGTGTTAAGAAACCTGCTGTTAGTGATAGTCATGTATGTCTTTACTAACTGTACTTTTTAAAATTTGTAATGATTACTTCACTCAGTATTACTATAGTATAATAAGTATGGTAAACTCCATTCATACGCAGCGATGCGGCTTATTGCTGCACGCCCGCCGCCTGCCGTGTACGGACGTACAGTCGGTGCCCTCACTTATGTATCCACTATTTGTATAGTACAAATAGTGGATACTTAAATGAGGACACCGACTGTACAAATTCGTATAACCAGCGCTACGTAACACGAGTGCATCACAAAATTACGTGAATGTGTGCGTCCTTACACGACATGCGGCGGGCGTGCACACATAAAATAAAATAAAATAAATACAAACCGCAATGCTACGTGTGGATGGAGTTACCATACTTGTCTTATTATGGTATTATTATTAGCAACTGCTAGCTCATTTCACGTTTTACAAAGTGACTGTCTTCCTTTAATTATTATATTTCAAATAAGTTGTCTATAACGTAACTATCAAAATAAGGCAATTCAATGTTGTATTTTATAGACCATCAACAAGCGAGCCTGCTCGTAGAACCTCCAACGTGAAGGCGCAAGTCGGAGATAAACTCAAAGTGTACTACGGACCAGCGCAGTCTGAGTCAAAGGTAAAGGTTAGAGTTATCTAAATTTTATTATTTTACTTTTCCACAACACTATCTACAAGTTATAATGGCTATACCAAAATTTAACTAAAAACCTGTGCCACGTTTTAATGAACATATCTAACATATCGAAATTGAATATAATGAATCGCTCTTTTTTTATAATCACATACTTTTGGATAGTTCCACTCTCAGTTCTTTGTTTCAAAATTTTTAATAGGACTTCAAAGATGTAACAAATAACTCAACAGGTAACGTACGAAGCGAAGGTGATCGAGGTGTCGGCGGAGGGCATGTTGCGCGTGCACTACACCGGCTGGAACACGCGTTACGACGAATGGATCAAGCCCCAACGTATTGCGCTCAACGTCACGCAGCACGAACAGCGCAACAAGAAGGTACCCGCTTTTTTGAACCCACCAAATCTCGCCGTTTGTTTAGACTATACAGAGTGTAAAATTACCCTTAACGAAAACGAGAACGACGTATTCTTCCCATCGTTACTATTACTTTCTTGTGTGGCGCCGTGTCTGGGGAACTGCTTAAGATAATTAATGTTATTTCTAAATTTCTTATAAATAAACATATAATTCTTCAATTCACAAGTAAATGAGGCGTTTGAAATTACAAAAACCATAATGAATATCGAATTCACACATAAACAAACGCGTCAGCCACACGGGTAAACGCACTTAGACGCGAACGCCCATTTGTGGCACCGAACACGTCCTGCATTAACTAAAACCTAAATAAACTGGATATACATCGAGGATGACTGGGAGTTTTATTTTGTCTTTAATACATTTGTAATATAGAAAATTATAAAAATGAACCGAACGAATTTATAGAAATGCGCAAAAGGCGCTTGTGTCTTAGTTTAATGTACACTATGCGTATATTTTGGTTTAGTTATGAATTTTTTACACCCTGTGTATAAGGTGGCCCGGAAGTGAAGATCAAAACGAAATCAGGAGGTAGGATTGATGATTTCGAATCGATTTGACTACTACATCTGTAAATTGATGGTTCAAACGTTATTCAAATTTTTTATGTTTTTTGGAAAAATCACTACATCATCCCTAAAAAATATTCGCAAGACTTTTGAAGTGGTTTTTTTCTGCATTATGTTTCTGAGATATATATCTTTTCGATAGAACTCTTCGTAAAATGAGGTAGCAAATGTTAATTGCAAACAACCCTTTGGTGAACAATTTTCTGTTCAAAACTTTATTTTCAAAAGAATCTCACCAAAATAAAATGTACTACGGAAAGGCAGCCAGGGCAGAAAAATTAGTACATTTCATGCAGATTTTAACGATATATAACACATGGTATTTTTTTCTACAGTTATACAACCTGTATACGAACTGTAGCGTACTACCGACGAAACTTTCACTGGATTCATTTATGTTTATGTTGTTGTTGTGAATATTCCTAAGATTCGCACGAAGCGTTACGCTTCCACATTTATATGACGAACGATTATGGAGGGAAATTCCCTGCCTGACTACTTGTTCCCAGACGTTATAACTTGGACCGTTTCGAGGCGAGGGTGAATAGGCATAATTTAGGTACATGTTCCATCGTGGACCTCATCGTCACTTTCCATCAGCTGAGATGAAGGTCAAATGTGCACTTACATTTTTATAAAAAAAATATCATTGCGTTAATGGCTGTTTTGTTTATTTGTCTAGAATACCGGTACAAGCAGACGCGTTAGAGCTAAGAGAACAGAAGGTACGTAATAACTGTTGAATTTGTATTTGTAAAATTTTTATGCCTAATGTGCCTTTTATTGTCTGTAGAAGCTTCTGCGCGTTCTGATACTGACAGTGACTCGGACAGCGAACGAGACGTCAAACGTCCTCCTAAAAAGTCTGATGATAAATCTAGTTTAAAACGTAAGTACTCATCATTTACCGTTATTATAAAAATAACGCAACAAACCAATATAAAACTGATTATAACTATATTTCCTTTTACAGCCCAGTCGAGATTAAAAGACGCGGCGAAATCAAGCGATAGCAGTAGCTCTAGCAAACCTCGTAAGAGGCCTATGAGAACTGGTTCAACGCCGACAACCGTTTCACCCCCCAAGAAGCAGCGAACTAGCGTACCAAGCCACGCGGGCCGCGACTACGATCTTAACGAAATACGATCAGAACTAAAGGGACTCCATACTGTCAAACAAGAACCCGAAGAAACTGTAAAGAAAGAAATTAAACAGGAAAAAGAACCAACCGCCACCCTTGCGCCAGTAGTCATACCCCCTCCCGAACCCTTGCAACCTGAGAAAAAAGAAGAAGATGTCTATGAATTTAAAGAACCTGAACCTTTTGAACTAGAACTACATGATGAAAAGAAAAAACGCACGCACAGGATATTTGATGACATTTCACCAAGTAAATACACTTCTACGTTGTCGAAATCTTTAAGCGAAGAAATCTCTGAAGATCCCCTTAGAACCAGGCCATCTCTTCGATCCCCTTCACTATCCCCCTTCAGAGAATTTAATGCATCTCGTGATGTTCCGGGCCGTCAAAGCCCTGAAGAGGATACCAAAGACGATTTGTTTTCTATGGATGATGACTCCTTTCAAGACGGCAGTTCTGGTCCTATCTTTGAAGGTTTCACGCCAGCAAAAAATCAAGAGACCTACTCCAAAAAAAGTAAAGTGTCCAAATTACGGGAATTGATCGATGATTCGCCTGAAAGTCCTGCAGATGATGAACAATCTTCGGATGATGAACAAGAAGACATCATTATGAAAGAAGACGACAGAGATTCAAGTACACCAGAAACTTCTCCAATCGAGACGCCTAAATCCCCGGAACCAATAACAGAAGAGGATTCAAAATCTGAAAAAGATTCTGATCCTATAAAAGAAACTACTGTGTCCCCAATAAATATGCCAATAGGAACACCCGATGAAATAGATTTGTCTCAGATTCCGGAGCCACCAACAACGCCACCGCCGCAGAAGAAGCTAGACTTAACAAAGATAGAACTTCCTAGCACCACTATTGATGTAGCTAGCATACCTATGCCTGATTCAACACCCAATGATACTATAGAAGATAAGGATCCGAGCACACAAGAGGAAATTAAACTCGATTCTATACCACTTCCCAGTTCTGAACCCAAAGACTCTGATCTCAAATTGAAAATCGAAATAAAATTAGATCCTGAACCCGTGTTATTAAAGCAACCCTTACTAGAGCCTCTTTCCAGTCCTTTAGTAGATACAGAGGAAGATAAGTCAGAACCTGACAGTCCTGCACGCTTAGACGTCATACCAGATCCGCCTCCAGGCTTTCTTTTACAATCTGAGGGACCTAAGATAGCTGAAAAACTTCTTAAAGCTATTAACAGCGCAAAAAGATTGTCCATGTCGCCACCTCCAAAAGAGGATCGCCCGAGTACTCCTAAAAAAGACCTAAAAATTACAAAACCTGAAGGTATGATATCACCTATTTCGGGAGAATTGAAGAGAAGTATTACGCCTACAAATAAAGCGGAAACATTGAAACCATTAAGCAAAATTGAGACTACTAAGAAAGGAAGTCCTGAAGTTGGGACTCAAGGTATGAAAGATTCTATATTTGGGGAACCGTCGAATTTGACGGACGCGAAACGAGACGTTACGGAAGTGAAGAAAGTGAAACCAAAGGATCCTACTCCACCAAGACTGCAGAGTCCGTTAAGTATTTTGGAAAGGCGGAAGAGCGTAGCCGACTTGCCTCTAAGTACGCCTGGGAAGAATAATAAGGTTCTAAGCGATACTATACAAAAATTATCGAGTCAAATCAATCAGGCCGCGGCAAATATTCCTTTACCATCGTTCCCACCCGAAGAAAGAAGTGAATCCAGCGATTCCGACGATTCTGACAGACGGTAACTTACAATTGCTTACGAACTCAAAAAGAATATTTATTGTTTTTGAAATTGGATTTATTATATGTTCAATATTCCAGGTTAATAATAGACAAGCTGACAGTTGAGTGGGGCAGCGGTGTTACGGAGCCATGTCGAGAGACCGCTGTTGCAAGCAGCTCAATGACGGCGAAAGTCACTGCCGCTCGCGATCCGCACATGGGCAAGTCGCCCGGCGAATGGAGCGCCGGTGAAACTCTGCTTATGTTGGAAGATGCTTGCAAAAATGAGAGGAAACATAGTAAGTATCTGTTAGAAATGACTCGTGTACTTGCTATGTTACCCCACAGTATGCACACTCAACTCGGTTGTTGTATTTATTGACAATGGTGTCAAGTCCGTGCACACTAATTATTTTTCGAGGAAATGGTCTCGGTCTCACATTGTCAACAAGATAGAAAGCAACATTAGCTATAGCTGTAGTAATCAATGCGAAGTCTGTTGTAGTTTATTCCAATACTACAATATGTTCAGGTGCCAACGTGGTGGTAGCGGGTAGCGGACGCGTGGGAGCGAGCGGGGTTGCTGGAGACGATGACAGCAATCTGTCTCTGCTGTTATGCTCGGAGACTATTCCCGGCTCGCCCGCACCCGACGCGGAACCCGCACCGCCGAGGCAAAGGCTGCACATGCCCTTCGCCTGCGCACCGCCGCATCATCAACATAAAGGTATACCTACTTATAATTCTATTTATTTATGTACTTTGAAATATTGGCAACAATTTTGCATCGTAACTTAGTTAACTTTTAGCTGTTTCTACTATAAATACGTAGACATATTTTTTCTGTTACCAAAAATTATTAAGTGGTTGTATAATTATTTCGACGAGTTCATATAAAGATGTAAAATAACACGATCACATACTTTGTTAGCAGAAGAAAGGCGCGGCGAAGGGTCACGGGAAGCAACGGTGGGCGGGGGCGGGGAGGGAGGCGCAGGAGGGGCACGCGACGGCGCGGGCTGGACGCGCCGCGCGTTACTCGACAATACGCCACCCACCACGCCCGACAGCAGCGTCGATATGTCGCCGCAGCCGCACAGGTGACTATTCAGTCAATCTTCTATTAGCAACCAATGCACTAACCAGATGATTCTCAAAGTGATCTATATTTTGATAGCAGTAGAGCTCCTTGTGAAAGAGTTCATCCAGGGAAATACCGTCACCGTACCTGTTTCTGCCGCCAAGCAGTAATGTGAGCATTGCTGCGTTCCGGTTTTGTACTTTAGAAGTTGATGATTTTGTAGAAATTCAATATTAAAAAGGCAGTGGTCTACACAAAACAAAAAACCACGTGGACTACCAAATTAAAAAGTTGGGAGTCTCTGCCTTAACCTAACCGGTTCCGAACACTCGGACACAGATCGACATGAAATTAAAAAAAACCCGATTCGATTCGGTGTTTTATCCAATTGGATTCATCACCCGTGTTGAAATGCTGTGTACAAAATACCAAGTTGTGGTCTGCTCTCATCTATCGAAGACGGTTTCAGCATTACACAATCACCTTTACAAATATTGCCTTACTTTTATCCATCGAGTATATATATAACCTTTTATCTTATAGGGAACGGCGGATATCAGAACGAGACAGTCCTTCAGAACGCAAAGAAGACGAGGATGAGCCTCGCGGGAACGACGCTTCGATGGATATTGATAAACCTCATGGTACATATGTATTATTTTTATAAAATTGTAAGCCAAACAATCATATGGTTTACATTGTAGTAAGCTGTCACAGTCTGTAATGAATTACGTAGCACTGAAGGAACCACAACCAGCATATTGCCGATCTCTCAAATAGCACTATCCAAGCATCTATTTTTGTGAGTATTGCAGTTTCAGAACTATCTGAAAGAAACTGGGACTACTGCGTGGCTCTGCGCGTAAAAACGTAAAAATCATGATTGTAACTACATCGCCCGTTTGCCAGAACAACGTGTTATCTCTAATACATGGACCTAAATAAATAACACGTAACACGTGGTTCTGACAAACGGGCATTATGTACAACTAAATTTCCATGTCAGGTGTTCGGTCACGCAAAGCATCGGAGAGCTCGGGTGTAGGAGTAGGTCCGGGCAGAGGCCGTAGGCGCGCACGCCGTGACACCGACGACACGGCACACGCGCATACAATCTCACACCACGCACCGCTCAAGTACAACTTCTACGTCGATCTAGGTAACTATGAGTACCACATAATATTAACCTGTACAATTACACTAATTCTATACAGTACCACCATTCGCACTGACTGATAGTCAATTAGTTTCGGCGACTAACTCCGGCATTACACTACACGTTTTTTTGCAGTATAAATCCGAATTGAATAAACAGAGCGCATATTTACACATACAAACGCACATCGAATATTGCAAAAAACGTGCAGTGCAATGTCGTGTGAACGGGAGCTGTCTTGGGGCCTTAGTGTTACTTTTCAAATATGTATACTTCAGTATCACGTTTGCGTTAAGATTTTAATTTAAACCTTATATGAATACCATTAAGATCTAAATAAAAATAATAACGCAAACGCGGTACTTCAGTTTGAGTGATTACACTCAGGCCTTCGTAGTTAACTTAAAGAAACAATAAGTAGTTATCAGAAACAAAAATCCATGCTTGTTTGTAGAAATTGTATCAGTATATCCAGTTCTTGCTCACTGACTGCTGTGCAAGAGGCCATTACTAATAGATATAAAAAAATGTAACACAAGTGGGTTTGATTATTATTATTAATTATCACTTTGTTTACTGTAGATCCGTCTTGGGATTGTCCGATGCGCATTAACGTGCTTATGTCACGTCTGACCGACCTACGCAAGGCATATCATTCCGTGAAAGCTGAGCTCGCGGCTATCGACCGCCGCCGCAAGAAGTTACGTCGCAAAGAGAGAGAAGGTGACTTTCTCACACATAAAATTTGCAGAATTCTCATTGACTTACAAATAAATGGACGACGGGTCTAATACAAAAACCACGAAAAAAATGTCCCAAGTCAACCTATTCGAAATTTAAATTGTAATGTCATCGCAGTATCGCGCTGTCACCTGTCAGTCGAACAAATGAAGACTAAAGCGGGGTGTGGCGCTCTGTATACGATTTTAGCGCCTTACAAGTGCGGACACTTTTTAGCGCGGACCCGACGTCCATATAATTGTACGTCAATGAGAATTCTAGATTTTTTATTTGAAATCGGAATGAATTTCTTCTTATTTTACAAAGTGCGAGATCTCCGAAATATCGTTAAGTTCACAATTACGATTCTATATTATGAACTAAATTGATATATTAATAGCGGAAGAAAATACCTAAGGTTTTCACACGAACAACTTCTGTTTCAGCTGTGAAAGCCGCTAAAGCGGCGTGTTCATGATGACAGCTGCGCTGACGTGCTTCTACCTAACAAACGCGCACGTATGCACCACGACGCTTATTCGTTTTAGAATAGGCGTTCGGCTCCGCCACTTGCTATGCATGTGGATTACAAATTTCAAGTTCATTAACACCATCTACTATCGATTACTTTGCCATGTGTTATACCATCAATGAAATCATCATTTTGATGAAATATCACTTTATTTTTTCGTTATTTTATTTTTATTGAAATGACTATTGTAGCGATCTGTGTAGTAGATGTAAGTGTTTTATTGTAATATTATATAGGATTTTATGATTTTAAAATGATTGATGATTTCTAATCGTACTTTGGAGAGGTTTACGTTGCATCGCCTTTTTAGTATTGAAGAGTTTCGTGCAATAAGCAATGGAGTGTCGACTATGTTAAATTAAATGTAGAACAGTGATTTTTTTGGAGCATTACAAAACTGCACATAATTACGATGAAGACTGATGGATCGAAATAATAACATGAAATATTGAGACGACTATTTATTTCCAAAGTATATGTAATTTCTCAGATTTATTAACGAGTTTACTTTGAATAAACATTCGTAATGGATTAATCTAGATATTTTATTTTAATTGCACACCTTACATATAATTTGTTAGGAATAAAACAACACACTCGTGTACAATAGCTTAATTATTACCACCAATAGAACGTATTGCATTTATAAAGGTCAACCGTGAATACACACTAAACAAACCACTATGATAGTCAAGGATATAACAAAATGTATTCGATGGGCACTTAGTCGTATATTACCTAGCAATAACAGTATGAGAAATGGATACCTACATTAGAGTCATTGTATTAAAGTGCGAGTCTATAATGAGCGAGTCTATGTCTTATAGTATCACTTTTAAGACTTGGGGAATCGCGGACGTCAATAGTAATTAGGATATTGGGGCCAAGGGCCTGGGTGATGCTGGTAGGGTCCTGGTGGTTGCTGGTAGCCCCATGGGGGTTGGTAGGGTTGAGCGTAGGATTGATCGTAGGACTGCGCTGTAGCCGCTGGTGTTTGGTAGTACGTGCTGTTCGCCGCGGTCGTCGTTGAGCTGCCGGTCGAAGCTACACTGCTGTCCTTCTTTTTCGTCGCGTCGTTCGAGGAACTATAGCAAGAGAAAAGTAGTCAATAAGTAATTCGTTCTTTTGAATACCTAGTTTACATTCTGAAGTGACGTCAAAACACCATGTAAATGCAAGTAAATTATACTTCGCAAAATTGGTTCTTTGAAATAGTTATCACTATACTTCGTTTTAATTCATTTTAAACAAAAAGTAAACAAACCTACAAAGTCACTGACCTGACCATAGACGGTTTAGTGATGGCCAATTGTAATGCTTACTAAAAATCGATTAATTAATTGAATGAATCGATTTCTTTAATTGAGTTATACTAGCGGTTTTCCTTACATGAATAGTAAAAATACATAACCTTTATAACCATAATATTTAAAATTTCCGAAATCTTAATTTTAAATCCTTCAAATATTTACACTTGGATGCTCGTTCGTATGCTATTGAAATTTTCGATTTACCAATCGCTTACAAAAACTTTAATTGAATTAACGGAATGTTTTTTTTCGTATAGCACTATGCAACTATAGACAAGCCATAGAAGTATAGATGAAAAATAACCTCGCTTTTGAACTACCATTTTTCAAATACGATTTTTATGATGCTATTCAAATGAATATTGTTGAAAAAAGTGATGAGATATCAAGTAGAAATCTTCGAAATATACGTGAAAGTGTTACTTATTCGATTTGTTGAGTGATTACTTTAGAATTTTAATCAAACAGGTTTGTTTACTTTTTGTTGAAAATGGATTGGAATAGGCTGTAATTGCAGGTTTCTTACCACGATATGAGTTCTTTTTGTTACCTAGAACTGTTACACACTCCATGGCTGCCGTCCGTGTTTAATGATATTTTAGCTATACATCGGCGCATAAGCTCCGATAAGTCAAACACGTTAACTAATTTTAAATGTTTTTAAAAGACAATTTAGTGATCTGTTTTCTATTTAAAACTGATATTTGACCATAAAGATCTGAAGATTTGTCACTTAGCCGCGTTTGAGTTAGTGGACAGCAGATGGTCATGGCTGACAGTCAACCCGTAAAACCGGGTATTCATTAGAGAGGTGTAACTGTAACGTGACAGATACAGTAACGAGGTTCTAGTGTGTACGCGTGAAACCGTCTTCACTCGCTAGGATGAGTACCTGGTGATCGTCGGCTCGTAAACCACATGCACACTATGATTTTTAATAACCTAACATGCAACGGTTACAGCTCGCTTGTGAGGACTCGGTGCCACACGGTCCATGGTCACGGTTGACAGTCAACCCGTGACAATGGAGCGTGTAACCGTTCCAAAATATCGGGAAAACAAAAAGAACTCATGCCGTAGTAAGAAACCTGTAATTTGTGATAATCATTTAGTGAATAACCACGAAAACCTTAACATCTATATTGGTTCTTTTAGTAGTACAAGTAAATGAGAGCTCAAATTTCTTGGGACCCATATAAAAGGGTGTCAGTAAGCATAGTTAATTCTTTAAATGTCCACAACACGAGAACGGTCTCAATCAAAAGTGCTTAAAGAAGTTTCGACTGAGGCAACACGTCTGTGATTAGTAAGCAAAGTAGTAATGACTTGGGCAACGGCGGGGGGTCGGGGCGGTCCTTGCGCGCTCGCTTGCGCAGGTGTTTGGCCAGCGCACGCGCGTGCTGCATGGCCGTCCTGGCCGCGGCCGCGCCGCCCAGCTCCTCGGCCAGCTCGCGTCGGCGCCACGCCAAGCGCGCGCTCACCTCCAGCTCCGCGCCCTCTTGCTGCTCGTATGATTGCACTAGCTCTGAAAAATACACGGTAACGATGTTTTCGTATCAACTGGCTGTAGTTCCTGCTATTAATAAATACCGGTCATTTAATTCGAGCCACTTTGCATTTTTATTTTTAAAGAGCTAGAATAGAAAACGATTCCCTGGTTTTACAAATTCAAAATATATAATCGTTTTTCATTTTCAAGATTAGGGCATTCAGTAGTGAAAATGCAAGGTGGATCGAATTGTGTCTGGAAGTATATAAACAGGTGGGTCCGGGTTAGTGTTAGATGTATGCCGTATGTTAAAGTCTTTGGTGTTTGACGTAATCAACAAACGTGCTGTTGATGGGTAAGTGAGGACAACTTTATTCTAAAATGACTTAGCACTACCATACACGATGCAATGGCGTGTCGTCTAAGTTTTTTCGGTTTTTAACTCACCTTCTAATTCCTCGTACTTTGTATCAGGAGTATGTAGAGCCAAATCAAGCCGCTGCATGTGTAGGCGCGGATTCAATGGGTCTTTCGTAATAGCCTCGTCAAGAACCTTCCTCGCGGCGGCAGGATCGTGGCGTACGTGGAAGTAGAAACGAGCATACTTAATCGCCAGAGCCGAAGCTACAGACTTGTTTTTGGCTGAAGCGATGTAGTTTTCGTACAGTTGTGCACATCTGTCGAAATCGCCGCGCCGACGTTCGAGGTTTACGCGCCTGGTAATAATGAGTAATTTTGTCACATTATTTTACACGTACACTGAGTATTCAGTTTTTTCCACATTTCCATAACACGTCTGGTCATAAACATATACATCTTGAAATTTTAATTACCCGAAAAAATTTAAATGTGATTAAATTTGTATTGAATTGATATTCAATTATTTTTTGTGAAAATTACTCAACTAGTTCGTTATAATTGTTAATACAAAGATCGAACACATAGTTGTATTTGATATTTGATTGGTATTTGATTTTCAACGACTTTTTAGCCGTAGTGTGACGAAATACTTTCATAAGATTTCTCATACATGGCGCTACGGCTAAAAAGTCGTTGAAAATCAAATGCAAAGACTCGACAACAAGCACATAGAAAAATTCGTGAGCTCAGCCGTTCGTTCCGTTGCTTAGTTGGCATAGCGTCTGGCACGGTTTCCTAGAAGACGTCGGTTCGAATCCGGCCGGATCGAAGGAATTTTTTCTAAGTGTTCAATTTTATATTAATAACAGTGGCGAGGCGTCCATATAACTCGATTACCGCGGCTTGCCTAAAATTTATCACGTATATTCAAAAGACAGCGCGCATATCCCACCACTTAAAAATCGTACATTCCAAATTTCAAATAATTCATTAACAAACGCGTGAGTGGTCTTTGATAATACGACGTATTGTAGCCTTCCCGATGGATCTTAACCAATGACAGCACAAATAAGCCGCCACGGTCCCGGCATTTATTTCATTCATTAAATCAATTCGCTCACATCAAAATACACGCACACATTTGCAAAAAAAACAGTGGAATACGACCTAATAATGGCGGCCCACAACCCGAAGATTTTCGGGTTACATCGAATAGCGTTCATGTAAATTTAAATCTTATTTCTCCTCAGATACGATTTATTTTTAAACACCGATGACTTTGGCGATAATCGCCAACTTTTATCGCCAAAGTTACAGGAAAAAAACTAGTTAATTCCTGTAAGTTGCCAGCTATGATATTAATAAAACTAAATCAGAAATATGATTTTATCTGTGCTTTGATCTGCGTCGTGAGTTCTACTCAATTTATTTGGGTAATAATTTTTATGAAAGAACATATTTATATTTCATTTTACTCGCGAGAATAAGAGACATAAGATCTCGAAACGCTTGATAACTGGACATTGTAGGAGTCTGATACCCGCGTATTTAATTATTACAATTACGAAGAGTTGTTGTCTTGAAATTTGTGATTGTATTGTAATTAAAAAATGAAAAGAAATGCGATATAGTTTGAAATGCTGGTTAATTTCATAAAACAGTGAGTGTTGTGAGCTGGCCTTCAAATAAAATACTTGTAACTTGCAATTAAAGACTCAAACAGTATTATAATCTCTAAATATTTTTGTGTTTATGTTTATGGATATGGGGAATTTAATAAACCTACTAAAACGGTCAAGATTCTGCTAATGCTGACCCAGCAGGCAACAATTACATTACTGAAAGGTGCAAAAAGTTAGGTATACAACTCAAAATTATGGATATTAGGTACTGAAACTAATTACTTTTGGTTCGTTTATAAATCATTAATTCACTCAACTTGACCTATTCTTATTGGTGTTGGTGGCTTGCTTTTCCATTGTATGGAAGGAATTAAACCTTAAATGGTTTTTTTGTAGGATCAAAATTATTTATTGATTTTTCTAACACTTCAAGTATGGAGTGATTTAAAAATGAAAGTAATTTCATACCAAATCTTATATTATAATAATAACAAATATACACGTAAATGCATACTCTCGCAAGCCAAACGTCAAGTGACAACTACAGAATTTGTTAATTCTTTCGAAGGTGACGTTTCGAACATACACTTGCAAAAGCCCTTGTAATGAGCTTCGAAACGTTTTACGCTGTATAGTGGTTTTGAAAACGAATTGTTCTGCATTTATGACGGAAAAATACACTCCCGAATTCTATTGCTGTAATTGCGATTTTAACGCTAACGCGTTCGATGCATTTGTTACAACGAATGTAATTGGAATACAATGGAATGTACTCAGACTTACGCAAAGAACGTAGATGTTAGTGCACAGACATGTGCATTCGTGTTATTATAATTAGTAGTTGCAATTAAAACTGCAAAATTTGCTTCATCGTCGTGTATCGAAAGTTTGTTTTTAAATTTTTAAAGTAATTTACTACAATTGGCATTGAATTCAACAGTGCATAACAATAACTATATAAACTATAAATATGTAATAACTTATATGCTAATAAGTGTTGTGTTTCAGGGCCGTATTCCAGAACTCTAGTCAATACTGAAGTCAGGACTTGAGTATTGCAGTGAGCACTGAAAATCATACTCAAGTCAGGACTTGAGTATTGCAGTGAGCACTGGAAATCATACTCAAATCCTTGCCATTAGGGTCGTATTTCCAGTGCTTGAAATCATACTCAAGTCTGTGCAAATCCTGACTTAAGCATTGAGTAGAGTTCTGGAATACGACACCGAGGGTCATATATATATATATACGACCCTTAGGGTCGTATTCTAGAACTCCATTCAATGCTCAAGTCAGGATTGCATTGGCAACACAAGCACTGGAAATACGATCCTAATGGCAGGGACTTGAGTATGATTTCTAGTGCTTTGAATCATACTTAAGTCCTGACTTGAGCATTGAGTAGAGTTCTAGAATACGACCCTAAGTGTTGTCAAGATGCCAAGACGCCTTTTTAACGGGAAAAGAAGTTTTTGTTAAGTGCTTTTGGTTTTTCTCCGGCTTTACTAACGACAATTTTCACGCCTCATCACTGATTAATAATTAAATTTAAATGTGCTTAGAAAAATACGTACAGTACAGTCAACAAACATGACCTTCATAAAACAAATATGTTTTATTACATTTACAAATTATTCTGTAAACACGCCATGATGTTTGCTTTTGTTTTACTTTAGAATCATTTTACTAGGAACAGAGCTCCTTGTGAAAGAGTTCGTCCAGGGAAGTACTGCTACCTTACCTATTTCTACCGCCAAGCAGTAATGCAAGCACTGCGAGTATTACTGCGTTCAGATTTTGAAGTTAAGGGTGCTGGTGAAATTACAGGCACATGGTACTAGTCAATAAGTCTCAGTGACAGGCGCAGTGGCAGTACTCCTCAGATCTTTGTGATTCAAAGCACTGAGTGGCACTGCAACTTTTATGGACAGGCTCACGACTTACTCATCCCATCACTTAGTATTATTAAAAAAAAAAGCTGTCATACTCTTTTTACCAACTAGCATTACACACAGTTGGGTCATTAGTAATAACCCTAAGGTAAGGAGTATTATGGCCTTATTCGGAGTGGCGGCGGGCGTGGGCGTGAGTGCGGGCGCGGGCGCGGGTGCGCGGGTAGATCTAATGGCTCCGTCCGCCCGTACCTTTCACAATGCTTGGTCTAGCGTCTTGCATCTGTTTGCGATTTCGACATGTGAATCTAGCCGCTCGTAGCCGCTTCGGCACTGTGAAAGGGAAGACGCCAAGACCGGCGCGCCCGCACCCGCCGCCGCGCCCGCGCCTGCACTCTGAAAGAGCCCTATAACATACATAACTTGGGAATGAAATATAAAATATATTCAACTTACCGGTACTGAATCTGCACAAGATTAGGGCAAGTTTTCTCTATCCGGTCAAGTATCTCAGCAGCCTTAGCGACATTACCCTGTGCCTCCTCAAAGTGCGCCCAGTGAAGATGCAAATCTGGCTTGTCCAAATGATGAACTGTACAGGCTCTCTCGAGGACTTCGCGCTCTATTGATACTAATTCCGGGTTTGTGTCCGATCGTTCTTCTAGGAATTTAATAAGCTGTAAATAAAAGAAGTTTACAAGAGCATATAGTGCACAATCTGCTAGGATTTTTGACAAACGCTGCATATTCGGGTTTGTCTTTAATCACTTGTATTTTTTATAATATTATTATAAATATTTACGAAACATCTGATAGTAGATAATAATAAGAATCAATTGAATTGAATTTTATCATTATTTTTTTTTTTATAATATCAAGTGACGGGACGAACAAGTCGTGCGTCTGATGCCAAGCCACACGCCTGTTATATTTATTGCAGTGCTACTCAGAGATTTAAATCGCAAAGATCTAAGGGGCATTACCACTGCAATAAATATAACCCTAACACACAAGTTAACACCCTAAGACACAAGTTCATCAGCATCCTTATCCTTCAAAACCGAAACACAGTAATGCAAATATTACTGCTTCGCGGCACAAATAGGTAAGGTGGCAGTATTTCCCTGGACGAACTCTTTCACAAGGAGCTCTACTGCTACTAAAATGCTTCCCTGAATGCAATAAGCAAAATTAGATATCATACGAGTAAATTATACAACAAGAGATGTAAATAGTAATTGTTACCTTCATCCAAAACTCCTCATAGAGTGCACAGGCAATGAGACACCTCTCGTGCAAGACATGCGCTCTCTTTAATGACCCGTGCTGTTTTTCCCACTCCAAATAGGACTTCCAGTTTTTCAATTGGCACCTTTCCAGTGGTTTCACGTGGAAATATGGTCTTTTGATCTGCAATAAGATATTAATTAATTTTAAGAAGTTACAATGAAAGGACGCTATAGTTTTCTCTATAATATTTACCCAACTATAGCAAACACAATACAAAGTAAGTAGTCTATCGGAATATGTGATTGTTAAATTTTTTGCATTGAATGTTGAAATTTTAAATAATAAATTATATATATAGTACATTTTAAATACCATTTTTTATTATATTAAAAAGTGCAACATTGTTCTATCTATTTCGCTTATGGGCACATCGTATCTACTTACGCCTTCCTCAAAGGTCCAACGCGCGGCAACTTCTTCTCCAGTAGACTTGTGGACCTTACGTCGAGCCGCAATGATGCGTTCCTTTATGGCTTGCGCCTCTTCCTCCGACGCCTGATCGCATTGAACAAAAAACAATAATAACTTTGGTAAATACATGGTCAAAAAAATTCAATACGAAATCGTATTTATTATATTTCTATTTCTCATTTATTCGGCACCAATTATTTACAATCTTGCCAAATACAAGACTAATAAGTAATTACATTTCACTTAATCTAAAAAAGAAACAACTTAAACTAAGAATTCATTTACTTATTTTCTTATTAGCTGTTACGGGGAAGACACTTTTTTCGTGTGATCTTTTTGTTCGCTGTCACTAGCATTATAGTAATTTTGCATTTGAACTAATCTAGTGTTAGAACATTTCTAACACTAGATTAGTTCAAATGGTTTTGTATGTATAGATTTAAAGCACTGATTAAGTTTTTTTAAGACTACTTGATGCTGACTGAACAAGTAAGGTAGATTATTGTGCTGAATAATGGCCTGTGTCAGCATTATTATGTATTGATACGTACGATGTGGTCCACGGGCTCATCTTCCCCTGGCGGTAGGTCTAACTGCGGCTGCGCACCACTGGCATCGCGCACCTCGCCGCGCAGGCGTACCAACTCCGTGCGCGATACGACTCCCGTCACCGGCTCCGACATAACGTGCTCTTGGAAACTGCACACAAAACATAATGTAAACTATTGAATCGCACAGGTTCGACTAGTTTAAGACCCCCACACCATCGAGTATATGACCAGAAATAGACACGAAATAAGGGCCATTCATCCCCGGCAACTCATCAGGTAAATGGGCCTTATATCACTTTTAAATATCAACTCTCGCTTAAGCTTAACTCACAAATTAGAACAACGCCAACAACTGACCTGTGTGTACGCCTCGGTATATTCCAAAAATATTGTGTATTTATTGTAATAAAGATAATATCTCTAACAAGGGGGCTGTTCCATTCGGCGGTTAGGGCAACAGCAAAAGCTAAACATCTAATTACAAAACAAACATTTCATTGGTAATTAAATATGTAATTTTGCAATTTTCATCCATTATAGCAAAGCTCAAGTTAACTGGTCGATTTGAAGTGAAACAATTGACGACACCCGTCGATTGTTTCGAATTCGGGGTGGCCAATCCGAGCGCAGTTGTCACAGCAATGATTTGGCAGAATAGTTTTCAAACAAATCAAATGACATTTCGTCTCTATTTCTGGTTATATACTCGATGCTCCACACAGTCTCCCAAAGTTACCTGCTAATATCTCATATAGCCAAATATTCCAAAAAATTAAATCGCCTTTGGCTCTTGTCTGGACCACATTTTGTTTAAAAATTACTTGCGTCCAATAGTTGGAACTTATATGAGTAAACACAGAAAACACATCAATTTTGACGAAATAGAATCTACAAAGAGTAGCACATGTTTTGCAATGAAAAAAGCCAGTGTGAAGTAATACCACAGATTACTTAATAGAAACGTAATACGCTCAAGTTTAAATTGCAAAAAGTTTATTCACGTGCCTGTAGTCATAAAACATTGAGTCGAGACAGCACTTTAATGGACTCTAAACAACAATTGCACAACTGAGAGTATAGGCTATCTGTGGCGAAGCGGGCATGTTTGACATAGATAAGTGTACAGTAAATTATATACTCCCTAAAACAAATAATAAAGAACAGCTCACACACCGATAATTTCAAAATACATTTACAATGTAGCGTACGTAGTCTGTTTAACGAATTAACTTTCAAATTGGATACTTGACTATCTACCATCAGTGCTTTGTAAATTTTTGGGCGTCTGACAACAGGACAGAGTGTAGGATTTTATCGCTATGGGTCAAACTAGCTTGTGGTGTATTTTAAGGTATTTTGACTTTTGGCTCAAACAAGAGAACGTATCGACGTACCCTCTTTAGAAGAGTTATAATGCTGTGAAGTAACGGGTGGTCTCAAGAAACCTCTGGATCGCAAAGTCCTAGTGTCCACAACAATACGTTCAAACTTGGTGAAGCTGCCGACACAAAAACACGTGCAGCAACCAGTTTTTCTCTGACCTTTATTAGTTCAACATGAGATGAAAACAAGGTATGTTCAAAAAAAGTCGAAGTTTTATTATTGGACAAAGCATTCGTTTCGGTCTTCTTGACCTCATTCCATTTTGAGGCATTTGGAGAAGAGTGGGCCTCTTTTATCGACGTACCCTCTTTAGAAAAGTTATAATGCTGTGAAGTAACGGGTGGTCTCAAGAAACCTCTGGATCGCAGTCTAAGGGTCGTATTCCAGAACTCTACTCAATGCTCAAGTCAGGATTTGAGTATGATTTAAAGCACTAGAAATCATACTCAATTTCTTGCCATTAGGGTCGTATTTCCAGTGCTTGAAATCATACTCAAGTCTGCTCAAATCCTGACTTGAGCATTGAGTAGAGTTCAGGAATACGACCGCCAGTGTCCACAACCAATTTTTTTCTCTCTTCTCTTGGCTCTTCGCGGTAAGCGTTTTAGCCACTTTCAAAGTGTTTTGACTAACTTGTTTTTAAAACGGGGAAACTTGTATAATATCATGGAATGTAATTTGGTAAACGGTATTCGAAAGTTGGAGAAAAAGTGAATTAGGAATCAGGCGAGAAATTATGAGGTGGAAATAAACATGGTATACATGATAAGTTTACAAAAAATACAATTTGTAGAATATAGCTTCTAATATAAGGAAATTTTTGGTTGTCATACTTTTGTCACCAATAATTTGCATGAAGTAGTACTCTTCGAATAAATCGGATAACAATGAGTATTTTATAGCGTCTCGGCTAATTACGTCAAAAATATATTTTTATGTGTTTCTTTATATTTTGCATGAATATTACAATAAATGCTTTTAATGAACCACATATTAAATGTAAAATTAAAAAATAAAACAAAACAATTCTATTATTTTTAGTTAAAGTACAAACCGTAATTTATCGTAGTTGACACCAAAAGACTTACATTCATTCCAGTCGTTCACGAAAATTGTAAATGACAACGAAATTCTTGGACCCGACCGAAAAAGAATTAGAGTAAAGTTATTGATGAAACTTCGTTTACATTCGTTCGTTAACGAAATTTCGTTTTCAAGAAAGAGAGTATACCTCCAGGACCAGACTTATGCTTGGTACAGCTGAAACAACTGTCACGGTGTGAAGTAACACCTCATCTTGGAAAGTTTGCGAAGCTTCCTGGCTGCATTTTTGGCCATGGATTCAATGATCGCCGAAGTTCAGATTATATGACAGGTCCATTCCAAGTAGCTGGAGATGGTCGGCGGTTTTATGGAGAATAGACATGCCTGCATTTTGGTAGCATTAAATTTGACAAGATTGGCATCACCCCAATCGGAGACTGCCTTAAGTGCAAATTCAAACGACTAACCATGGACTCTCGACAAGACTAGATTTCTTCTCCACTGACCCTTGCATTGGTTAAGTACCTGTCCACAACTGTGCTGTCATCAGCATACAAAAAAAGGCACCTGGACTAAATATATCATAGATATGCAGCAGAAAGAGAGTAGCGGACAGTACGGAACCCTGAGGAACTCCGACATCTATCGCCGATATTCGGGAGAATAGCCTTCTAAGACCACTCCAATTGAACGTCCACTCAAGATCGGATTTCTTGATCTTGAGTGTCCATGTGAGAGAATCCAATTGCAAAGATCAGTGGGAAGCCCATAAGAGGGAAGCTTGCTTAAAAGGCTTGCGTGCCAGAGCCTGTTAAAGGCTTTAGAAATGTCTAAAGATATTGCAAGGACTTCGCCATGTCTTGCTTTGCTCCATAGATGAGAGGCGTACACAAGAAGATCCCCAGTAGATCACCCTCGTCGGAATCCGTACTGGCAATCACTGATGAGTTCGTTGTCTTCAAGGTACGACAGGAGACGGTTGATGATTACACGTTCCAGTCTTGCAGAATATGGAAACGACTGAGATAGGTCTATAGTTGACAGGGTCAGATCTGCTTCTTTTTTTGGGCACAGGTTGCACGTTTGCAAGCTTCCACGACCTGGGAACTACACCAGTCTCAAGTGAGAAGCGATACAAGCGTGTGAGAACAGGAGACAACTCTGGCGCACAGTTACGCAGGACTATTGCTGAAATCCCAACTGACCCGCTAGCTTTATTCACAACTAAACTTCGCAGAGTTCTGAGTACCTCTTCTTGACTTATGTGAACTGGCACCATACTGCAGCCAGTGTGAGGTAAAGAAGGTGGTAGGTTCTCTGCGGCATCCAGACGCGAATTTTCTGCAAAGAGTGAGGCAAAAAGATTCGCCTTTTCTTCCGTAGTATGAGCCAGGGAGCCTTCCGGCCTCATCAGATAAGGTAAATAAGGAAAGCTAAAGTTTGATTCGACCGCTTTAGCAAGAGACCAAAAAGATTTGCTGCTTGCTGGAAAGTTTGGCCCCTATGCGGCACATGGTCTTGCGAAACACTCTTTTGCATTTCTTGGCGACATTATTAAAAGCTTTCTTCAGATTCAGAGTACTTGGAGCATTGCGAGCATCTGCCTAAGCTTGGTACGCCGACTGTCTTTGTGCTTCAGAACGGCTATAGTCAGCGCTAAACCATGGACAAGTTTGGGATCCATTGGGTACATCAGAGTATGGTATGTAATACTCCATACCCAAACGCAAGATCTCGACTACAGCATCAGCACAGCTCAACGAATCTCCTGAAGAAAAGCAAGCCTGCCAGGGATATGAAGCAAAGAAATGGCGCATTTCGTCCCAATCTGCTAACCAGTATCACCACACCCGTCTGGTACCACTAGGGCCCTGTTGGGGTGAGGAGTATGTGGGATACAGCTTTCATCAGACAGTGGTCAGAAGTACCCAATGGTGCATCCACAACCATCGAGTATCGGTCTGGATCAGTTGTTAGCAGTAGGTCCAAGCAATTTGCCGAATGAGATTCAACATCTGGAATCCTGGTGGCGCCACTAACAAGGTGGGAAAGGCTTAGCGTTAACATAAGTCTGTCTCCCAGCATGATCAGTCATCTGGTATGGGAACAACCACTCTTGATAGTAATTTTTGTGTCTACCAGAAGCCACAAAGCAGAAAAACTCAGTGCTTCAAGGTTCTTGAGACGCTTGACACAGATGACATTGCGAACGTACATACAGACTCCGGCACGAGGTAAAAACCTGTGCTCCAGAGTATACCCAGGGTAGTTGAGGTACGCTGCGTCAACTGAACTTCTGATGTGTGTCTCGACGAGGAACAGCAGCTGCGGTTTGACAGTTTCCAGGTGGTGGTGGACCGCCACTCGATTCGCGCTTCGATATTTGAGTGCAGCCCTCTGATGTTGGTGAAGTGCACTTTTAATGGGCAGGCGTACAAACGCTGTTAAAATCTGATTCCTTGTTTGTGACTCTTCATACTTTTAAATTCGAGAAGCGAATAGGCAGGAGGAAGGCAGTTTAACGAGGTCACACTGCCACAAGAGGGTACAATCGGCTTGGAGACCGCGGGGACGCCCGAAAACCCCAAAAAGGCCACCTTGTCCTCCCCTCCGGTCGCCAACCGGCAAAGTGGAACATTCAGGGATTTTTCGTTGGGTGGCGGGGCAGCCTTTGAAATGTGACTTTCCCGTTAATTGGGCCCCCAACTTCCTTCCCGCGGTGCACCGTGCTTCGGAGCCCGCTAGCCTCCAGAACCGAGTGTTCAGTGTGGCAGTGCAAGCGGCTACTACTCGTCGTTAGACGCAATGCAGCTGTTCAGACCCGATCTCCTAATGGCAACTACCGAACACGAGCCGGAACACGGACAAACCATTGGGCGACTCGACTGCGTCGGGAGGGTGGTTACCAGTCACGGCCGAAGGCTACCACCAGTAGTTATTGCTCATTAGCATCACTCAAGGCCACTTGTAGGGTCTCGAGGGTAAACCTACGGAAGCGAGCAACATCCGACTCCCAAAACCAAACCTGTCCAACTTGTGAAAGCTTTATGGTAGTTGTAGGTTAGATGAATAAAATACACAAAAATTTATTAAATTCTTAGGTAAGCACTGGGAATCGTGTTATATGGACCTTTAGCTGTTGGATAAGATGTATAATAATAATAATTTATTTAATTTAAGCCTTTTACAAGTAATGGTGTATTATAACTAAATAGGAGCTATTGCTAACGTACTTGTCGAAATGCGATGTGTATCCGAGAGTCGGTGTAGCAAGCAACCGATCGTAGATATTAGTGACGTTGAGCGCCGACCCGTTCTCCGCTTCCCATTTGATGTATGACTCCCACAGACGATCCGAGCGGAACTCCAAGCCGCACGCATCTGCATTGCACAGATATCATTAAATCGAAATATAAAAATGAACAGAACTATCAACAAAAAGTGTCCATAGCGTACCTATGGCCCGTTCATACTGTGCTCGAATAAAAGTATGATCTTCAGTCCTCGTAGTTTTAATATGATTCAGGTAGTGAATCCAAAGATCTACAGAGAGTGGAATCGCTTTGAGCCCTCTTTCCAACACCTGAAACACAAGACGGCGTAAGCGAGGCCCCACAGGTCGCACAGCATTGCCGTGGCCGCGACAATACTATGAAGCAAGGGAATATTGAATAGCATTATGTCTCATGTAATTTTGAATAGACGAAGCGAGGCGTTGGTCGCGCTCAAGGCGGACTCAAATGCGAGGCAACACAAATACAGGCGCGCAACACCTCGCTTGTATCTATGAATATAAAATGTTTGTCGGGCATATTACACCTGTTCGCATGGCACCGGGCGTCGCCGCGCTGCCGCCGCCGTCGTCTTCGTCCTACCGCCAATCAAAGGCTAAAGGACCTGGTGCGCTCCATGCTATCATGGATTAGTTATTACATCTTATCTTAAGTAACTCCAAATCCATTATTTCACGTACTTAAATAATATACATGAGAAAATATTACAATACATCATGCGTGTACAAAGTATCATCATAAATAATATGCACTAGAATATAAAATATACACCACAAACAATGAACCACTAGAGCGAGATCTATGTGATGGCAATAGAAGTTATAGAATTCTCCGGTGCGAACTGACGACTTTGCTTTACGAACATCGCGGGCCTCGACGCACTGTTGGGAAAAAAAATAATTGCAAAATACCAGTTATGACTAAAACAATTCAAAATCCAAGTGTTAAGACACATTGAAATGAAAGTCATAATACAGGTGTCAAAGCTTAGCCAACTCACCAAGTGACTTAAATATTATAGAGTCATTAAGGGTCAATACACACCTCGAGGCACTTCTTTTTACTCCCTTTGCGCTTCTCATAGTCGGCGTATTTGCGCCAATAGCCGTAGCAATACGGATAGTGCGACAGAAACGCATCGTAAGCCTCGCGCGCTGCTTCCACGTCACTCTGCGAACCACACATGTCTTCAGACACTGTCTCTGGGCACAACAATATTAGTACAGCACGCTCGCTTCTCAGTTGGCCCTTGCCACTCCACAAGAACATTCAGTTCTTAATGCTTCATAAAGCAATTAAGATTAGCATTTATTTTCATCATAATTTATATAAATGTAACTACGTAATAAATTCTATAACAAATCTGTGAAATCGTAATTGTGTGACATAATTTTGTTTCTAACAGCTCGATATTAACACAAGATTTACCACAAAGTATACTATTGAATGTTATCAGTTTTATGAACTAATCCATATTAAAAGTAATCATGAAAAAGGTTGAGTAATTATTTACCTCCTGATCTACATATTGTAGTAAATAAGTCCATCCGGTGAAGTCAGTAGGGTCGTCATTCACCACTTTCCAGTACTTATCAAGTTCGGGAAGAGTTTTCTTTTTAGGTTTTTCGTCAGTTGACGAACGCTTTTCTGCTGGCACAGGCTTACTTTCTCCATTCTAAAAATAAAAACAAATGTTATTAAATAATAAAGCTACAAATCCTGACTCACTTAGAAAAATAGAACGCATACTTCCCGATATGGTGGAAAAAATATATTTATACCGTTGTACGCGGATAGGCTCCAAGGCAAAGAATCAAAAATTGAGAAGCCTGAATGTGGAAAATGTAAACGAGGGATCAACGGCCTGCAAAAACTATAATACATTATTTTTGTGCATTTTTATGAGATACAGTAAAAAAAGGAAGTAAAAAAATGTTCGAAATTCAAATAAACAAGATAGCCGCCATACCAATTTCAAATCCTCCTATCACGGAAACTATTAGAGATAGGTAGGAGGTGCTCGAAGGAATGTCATAAAGGTAACACTGGTCAATTGCCTGGGTTAAAAAATTCGAGATGGCGATTTCAAAATGGAGGCCGAAAAAAAACTTGCTTCGATCCGGCTGAAAATTGGCATGCGAGGGTCTTTAGGAGTCGTTAATCATAATTTGGGATAAAAAATTTCTTTTCCTAATTTTTTAATATGGCTGCCATATAAGTGTATCTTTTCTTAAAAATAGTTGCCGAAAGACATTTGCTCTGATTCGACTGAAAATTGGCATGTGAAGGTCGCTAGAAATAATAATAATTTGTGCTCAAAATTTTGGTTTTCGCCATTTTCAAATATGGCCGTCATAGAAGCGTTCGTTGGCGGCAGAAAAAAAAATTGCTGAAATCCCTTTGAAAATTGGCATATGGGGGTCTTTAGGAGTGCTTGACAATAATTTGTGATCAAAATTAGTTTTTCGCCATTTTTCAATATGGCTGCCATAGAAGTGTTTGTGGCGGCAGATGAAAATTTGCTCTAATTCGATTGAAAATCGGCATATGGGGGTTTAATAATAATTTGTGGTCAAAATTTATTTTTCGCCATTTTTTAATATAAAACATCTGCTGCCATAAAAAAATGGATTTTTGCTTATATTCAGCTAAAAATCAGCATGTGGGGATCTGTATGGGTGTTTAATAATAATTTGCAGTCAAAATTTACTTTTTACGGCCGTAGGCCGAGGTGTAGCGGAGGGTGAAACCCGAAGCGTCCGCACGCCACCTTACGTAGGTAGAATACGGAGACTCTATTACGGTACAAGATGTCAAAATTGTTCAAAATGTAAGGCATACTTCCCGATGTAGTGGAAATAAGATACTTATAGCGTTGTTGTATCTCGACCGTCTCCTGTTAGATTCTTTTTTCTTGGAAGCTATGCCAAAAAGACCAAATACAAATTGTTTATTTTACCCAGCGTAATACATCATAATAAACGTAATATAAGTATTATTTCAACTATGATAAATATGATACATCTAAACCATCCAAATTATAAATAAAATAAAATTAAAGTAATAAATTCGTAAAATTACAGAAATCCCACAGATATAATGACACAAACCTGTGAATTAGCAATTAGTATAATTCTTATCAAAGTTGTTATAATAGGAAATAGTGTATTATTTGACCTTTATATATTTTTCGATGGTACTAAGATTATAGTCTGTTCCAATCCATTTTCAACAAAAAGTAAACAAAACTGTTTGGTAAAAATTCTAAAACCATCACTCAATAAATCAAATAAGTAACACTTTCACGTATATTTCGAAGATTCCGACTAGATATCTCATCATCTTTTCCAACAATATTCATTTGAATAGCATCGTAAAATTGTATTTGAAAAATGGTCGTCCAACAGTGAGGTTATTTGTCATGTATACATCTACGACTAGTCTATGGTTGCATAGGGCTGTATGAAAAAACATTCAGTTCATTCAATGAAAGTTTTTGTAATCGATTAGTAAATCGAATATTTCAATCGCAATCGAACGAGTATCTAAATTTAAGGATTTGAAGGAGAACTTAAAATTAAAATTTCGGAAATGTTATGCTTAATAGGTTATGTAGGGAAAACCGCTAGTATGACTCAATTGAACAAATCGATTCATTCAATTAATCAATCGATTTGTAGTTGGTCTTACAATTGTCTGGCAACCGTCTATGGTCGGGTTAGTGACTTGTTTATTTACATTTTGTTGAAAATGGATTGAAACCAAGTATAGTACTTCAGTGACATTCTTATTAAAATCAAAGAAAAGTTATATCTGATCTATTACTTGCAATAAAATAGAGGATCTGTATCATGTATTGGTGGAATGTGACCATAACGTAAACCTGAGAGGTACAATGTTTGGAAATGTAAGTTTATGCAATGGACAAATTAATTGTTGGCTCAGAGAGCCTGTATGTATTAGCGCTCTAAACTTGTACAAGTTTTTGAACATGTCCCTTGAGTAGGGAACCCAGTATTCCTCCCATGAGGCTGACATAGTCACTCAGGTGGTTAAAGCCTCAATAAAAAATAGTTTAAAAATAAGAAAAAAATTGATCTATTACAAAGAATCTATTTAATTTTTTAAGATATTGAGTCACTTTGCAGACAAAAATTTACTCACAGGTGTGTTAAGTATGGTAGGAAAATTACCTTAGCAATAGCCTGCTTTTTGTTAGCAGACTCGCTTTCCGAAGTTGGTGACCCAGGGTCGTACCCATCTCTTTCTTCATCCGGTTTTCGTTTCCGTGTCTCTTTTGAATCTTTCTTTGATGCTGGCAATTCATCTTCTGATACCACCTGTACGAATATAAATAGTGGTATACATCTATTTATCATTAAAATTGACCCATATAGTTATCACTTTGTTTAATTACTAACTGACTTATTAAATACATGTGTGTGGTGTGCGCCCACACATTCTTCTTCTTCTTACTTATTGGCGGTGCTCTTCCAGTGTAATAGTATTGAAAAAGAAACATGTTGCACCTGGTTTAAACTGTCGAAGCGCATGTGAGTGAATAAATATAAAATACCTTCATTATTTATACACCTAATGTTAGGCGTGCACTGAAACTATACTTATTTTGTACAGGTTAGCTTGTATACAAACTGTTATTTTCACAAATAAATGAGTTGTGAATTGAAGTTTTCAGAAAAACTTTATATTTCACAAAAACATTTTTTACAATCATTTGAGTAGGCAGTAATTATGAAGCCCAAGGTGGTAAGGCTTATTTACTTGCTAGTTAAGTAAGTAAGCATAAGTTCTAAAATGTTGACCTATAACATACCTCTGTATCAGCAGGCAGTTCAGCTGGCTTAGGCCCGGGCAGTTCATCATCAGACACATTCTCAGCATCCTTTATGCTGGGTTTCTGCACAATTGGCAGCTCATCTTCTGATACCACTTCTGTTTCCTCAGCTCCCCCTACTCGCTGAAATTGTATGATTGTTGATAAAAGACAAGTTAAGAACACAAAGGTGATAATCGTAATTGTTAACTTCTTATATTTTGTTAATATAAATAAGGATGATAACTAGTCTTCCTTTCTATTTCCTTAATGTGCCTCGCCAACCATCATTTTCCGAATGCACACGAACATTAATTTCCATGCCCACTTTAGATAGACACATTAGATTTTTCATCTCTGTAATAATTTTAATTCAGAACTGCGTACTTTATTGTTGTTGTCGTTTAGATTTCTGTGTGAACTATACATATAGAGCTGTAAAACATTTCCCTGTATTTAATATTATTACTCCATATCAATAAGCAAGTTAACCAAAACTATAAACTAAAGAAAGCACTTCTTTTACATAACTACAAATAATTTTTCAGATATTAATCATTTAAATACAGTCCGAATCCGAACGCACTTTATTTTTTTTATTATTATTATTTGGGAAACAAGCAGTTTTTACTTTGTTTACAAGATTATAGTACAAAAAAGTTATTACAAAACCAGCCAAATTTCCAGTAATAAACATAACTTAAAAAAGAACGAAAAACTACTTGTTTTTTTTAACACAAAGAAAATAAGAAAAAGAAACATGAAAATAAATAAACTAAAAAACAAGTAACAAATTATTGTTCATAAATGGTTTTTGAAAAGGACAAATAAAATATATCTACATCTCAAGGATTCTTATTGTACGCATTACAAGCTCTAAACAAGAAAGCGTTACTTAAATATTTAGTTTTACAAGCAGGCACACAAAAGACACTTTTCAAACGAGTATTAGATCTAGGACATCTCAAATTCGTTCATCATTCATATTGTGTAATAAAAAGCTACAGTCAATCTCACTTCTCAAAATATAATATAGAAAGATTTGGTCCTCGCAGCGCGTCGTTTTTCGATGCCTATAACTTAATAGCTTCCTAAATTTATTCTGAATGCGTTCAATGCCAGAAATATATATATTGTAATGAGGGTTCCAAACAGTACATGCATATTCTAAAATAGACCGAACGCAACAATTAAACAATAGAATTCAAATTTTAGGATTACGAAAATCTCTGCCTGCCCTGGAGATAAAGCCAAGCATCCGATATGCCCTATTAATAACTTTATTAATATGGCCATCAAAAATCAACCTATCATCCAGAAGCACACCCAGGGCCCTCCTCCGTCGCTCTATTAAATATGGTATTATTAAATGTATATAGGTAATTGAAATTATTTCTTTTACGTGAGAAAGTAATTACGTGACATTTGTTGATATTATGGTGTAGAGAATTAAATTTACAGTAATCATTGAGGCCAATCAAAACAAGTAGTAACTTTTCACTATCAGATATAGTTTTAGTAAATTTGAAGATTTTTTTGTCATCCGCATATAAAAGAAAATTAGAATTTGTAATACTTTTATTAATATCGTTTATGAGGTACAAAAGAGGTCCGAGATGCGAGCCCTGTGGAACTCCAGAACTAATAGGAACGAAAGAAGAGCAATATTCCTTTACAGTCACTGCATGACATCGGTTTCTTAAATATGACTCCAACCATCTCAGAAGTTCGCCATGTATGCCGACCTCCCCAAGCGTGCGAATGAGAGTGGAGTAAGATACTTGATCAAAAGCCTTGGAGTAGTCGGTGTAAATGATGTCAACTTGATAACCCTTTTCCATGGCTTCACACACCATCTGGGTAAAGTCACAAAGGTTAGTCTTCATGGATCTTTTTGTAATGAAACCAGGCTATTGAGAAATGATTAGTGGTCGCAACAGAGGAAATACGCTGTAGTAGACTATTTTTCTCAAACAATTTAGCTAAAGTGGATAATTTAGATATAGGCCTCTAATTCCTTATAAACATATGACTTTTTCCAAATTGTAGGAATCTGTCCCAAACGCAATGAGGTGTTGAACAAGATAGTTATTGGCAAAGCCAATGCTTCGTAATAGGTTTTTAAGAAAATGGAGGGCAGACCGTCTGGACCACATTCCTTCGTCACAATCAACCCTTTAAGATATTTAGCAACAATGGTTATTGGTATTTCTATATTACTTATATCTACGGTAGTATTAGCACACTGGGTAATATGAGAACAATCATTAGGTGTTGGTGGTTCAAATACAAAATGAAAATAATTATTAAAAGGATTACTAATGTGTTCACCGTCAGCGGACGTGATATTGTCAAAGTGCATTGTTTCGGGAATACTATCACATGAATTTCTTCTAGATTTTATAAAAGACCAAAAATATTTGCTGTTGTTCTTTATCTTAATTTCGGCATCACTTATGTAACTATCATAGCATTGTTTTTCTATAATCTTCTGCCTCTCCCGTACACCACAAACACCTCAAAGTCCTTACTGTTATTATACGCTTTCCATTTTTTGTGGAATTTTAATTTTTCTTTAATAATTTTAATCAGTGATTTAGAATACCACACTGGATACCGCGTGTCATTCTTTATTGTCTTGGAGGGGACAAATTTGGAGATAATGGCATTAATTTTGTCATAAAAAAGCTCAGTCGCTTCCTCTATGCCTTTATTGAGCAACTGTGACTTCCAATCCACTTGAGAAACAGCACTACCAATGGCATTCTCATCTGCAGCCTTAAATAGGCGAATTGTCCGGGAGCCAGCACGTAGGAATCGAGTACGGGTGCCAGCAATATTTATCACTAAGGGTGGACACCTAATAATTTTACAAGGGGAGCCACTTATTACCAGATCTAGACCATTGCGTCAACCCAGAAGACGAAAGAAAATTAATTAAGTTCATAGCCAGTTCAGAGTTAAATATTCCCTCAAGCAGCCAAGTTTCAGTAAGACAAACTATATCATAATCTTATTTCAGCATTTCTTTAAAAATTATGTTAGTTTTTGTTCAGGGTCCATGAACGTTTTGATAATAAACTAAGAGCTCAGAAGCCTACTTTTAGTAAAAATGTATCTATCTTTAACTTTAAAATAATGGAGAAACCATTCACAACATTAATCAAAGAACTTGTAACATAATAAGTTAAAAAAAACATATAATTAAATAAAAAGTTATTTATATTAACGAGAATATGTCCACAACATAATACATAGTTGTCCTTAATAGTGCCATACTTATAAGCAAAATAATTCCACAAAGAAGGCAAACAAACAAGAGCAATGAAGCTACAACCTATAGAATTTTGTTTAAATCAGTACAATGAATTATATGAATAATTTTGCTACTGTCCGTCCTTAATTCTTAATCCAAACATATTTGTATGACGACTTCTCACTTGCCAACTTCTTGGCACGCTGCAGAAGAGACTTATTTAATTTGGTAAAATGATCATTGAAGAATATTAATCTATTCGCATTAGTATCCGTAAAGCTGAGATCTCTTGATCGCAAGTTTTTTAGCTTTCAGAGATTATACAAAATGGCATCCTTCCTATAACGCCCCAAAAATCGGACTATATAACTGTATACTATAAAAAACTTCAAATAAGTTTTCATTCCTCTTCTTAGGAATGCCGATGATCTCTATATTAGAGCGTCGAGCCTACTGTTCTCTGGCATTTGCGTCACACTCTATTCGATTCAAGGCAGAATCCAGCAGATCAATTTTTGATGTGACTTCTTCACACGATCTTAACTCATCTGATATAGCTATGTTAGTATATAATAAGTTCACTATCGATAATCACTTTCTGCGCGGTATTTACTATAAAATCGTCTATGGACAGTGCAAACCGCTGTTAAAATTTCTTATAATCATCCTCAGATTTTATTGCGTGTTCAATCATATTAATTTTTTCCAATATAGTTTATTTGACTGTTGTCACATTCATTGCAACATTTTTAATAGCTACATGTCGTTTTATTTGAGAACTCTGGAGGGTATGGTGGTAATTGTAAAATGGTAACTAAGCTATAATTTGTGGTTCGAGTGTTTGATCTTTTATAGCAAATATCATGTTTTTCCATTAGATTAGTCCTATTACTTTCTATCTTAATGAAATATTTTGTTCTTTCTTACTCTTTTAGGCGACTGAAAAGGAACTGGTTTATCTTTTTAGCATATTCTTTTAAAATATTCTCCACTGTTCTGACTGAAACACCAAAAAATTCAGTAACACGTTTTTGAACTTTTTGAAAATGACCATTGTCTTTCTAGAAAGTATCAAATATACAAGTACACTGTGTAAATGACTTTAGCAGTTTTCCTCCCATGTTAAAATAAGTAAAAAATGTAGTAGCAACTCTATATACTTCCAAGTCGACTGAATGCAACTGGTGTGCAATGAAGGCAAAAGGCAACTGAATTGAAACTAGACAACAGGAGAAATGTAAAGTTTGGCAAGGGAAATTAAGAAAATAGATAGGGATTGTGATTCCAAACAAAAATGCTGTGTACCATACAATTAAATAGCATTAATTCACAATTAAATAAGAATAAATTCTTCAATCATTGTATTAATAAATATAACAAACTAGTGGAGTAATTTCACAAATAATAGAATGTCAATTCAATACAAATTTAAGAATGAATTTCTCAAAATTTTCAAAGTCAACACAATGAAATCAAAAGACAAGTAAAATGTTGGTAATGAGTTTTCCTTAATATTGCTTTACAAGAAATTGTTAAGATCGATACAAGAAATTGTTATAATTCTTTATTAGTTCATTACCAAACCTGACAGGCATGATCATAGCCTATATTATAGCCTATATTAATACTAATTTAAAATAATTATATTATTAATAATAATTTAAAGATTGGATACCTCAGTAGAATCTTTGTGTCCTCCTTTTTTTGGTTTTTCAAGTTCAATTTCTTTGACAATATTTGCAGGAACTTCGTTTACTGGTGATGCTGCAAATTTTGTATCTTCCACTGCTTCTGTTGTTTCTGTTTCCATAGCAGCCTGGGGCTCCATATTGCTGTCACCTCCTCCAATCTTATTTAGGAAAAGTAGACATTGTTATATTACATACACCATAATACTGTCATAATTTAACATTTCACGAGCCCAAAAGACACAGTGTGACCATAAACAATTGGTAATTTCTTGTTAATTGCTATACATTTTACATGATTGTATTACAAATTTTACATACCTTGTATTATTTTTTATTTAAAGATTTAAAAAAATTAAATCTGTTAAGCTACAGTACCAAAATCATCATGGACACTCTGACTCTAGGATGCATGACGGATTAAAGTAAAGGCAGTCTAAAAAAATTATTATAAATGGTATGACAAAGCACTTGACTATTGCATTGATTTGTTCCTATTTTCATTGGTCAGCTTCTTAGATAAATTTCACTCAGCTTTAGAATTTTCTGACTGCTGTAATATTGACGGCAGAATGCATGATAAATAAAAATTAATTTAAAAATAGACAATTTGAATACAAATGCCTTATGTACCTCACTAATATCTTTAGTAGAAGTATCATTGTCTGTGACAGCAGTATCTTCATGTTCCTCATTGTCATTTATTGCTACATCTGCTCTGCTATCGTCATCAGTCTTCCCCGGCTGACTGTCTTCGGGTAAGAAAGCCACTTCACTCGACATCTCACTCACTTCAGGCTCAAAATCGTTCATCTTCACTTCGCCGTCCGTTATTGGTTTGAAGCTGTTACTCAAGCGCGAGTCACTATCAGAGAGAACGTTGTTCAGCGAATCACTTTGAAAATTAACCGCATTATCACCTACGTCGAAGGAATTTGCATCAAAACCGTCTGTATTGTTCTCCAAGTAATCACCAACACTACCGGCAGACAGTTCTACGGCGTTCAAGAACCCTTGATTGGAGGCAGAAGACTCGTCCACGATCACTGCATCGACGCTGTTAAACTCCGTCTCCGTCAACAAATGGGAAAGTCCATTCGAATTTTCATTGATCAGAGGTCCCTCATCTGTGTCCATCGGTCCATCCGAAAGACATTTCTATAAACAAAACATTTGTATTAAAAATACCAGCTAATTTCTTCTGACTGCAATGAATTCATACCCCATTCATAACCTAGACAAGATCAAAACAAATTATGGACGTACCTGTAAGTCTGAACTTGCATCGTCATCCATGTTATATGAAACACCTGAAACGAATAGCGCAGTCTCAGATATCAATTATTAGTAGCGGATTTATAGATATTGATCAAATATCAACAACAATCACCAAGACGCTAAAATGGACACACATGAACAACATAGGTGTAGAGTAGATGTAGAGCAAAGTGCTAAACAGGGGTACTTCAAAACCTCGCAGCACTTTAAAGCGAGTTTTGATATTTAAAATATTCTGGCATCTCTTTTGAATTTAATGTGAAAAACAGAAATGGCAGTATTCTCGATCTCAATACGAAATAGTCGAAAACAGTGAGTGATTATAGTAACACATCCGATTTTCATAGACAATAATTTTTCATTCATTCGGATGCGGAACCATTTAATGTAATAATGTTGCCTTTTTAAAGTAACGTGATGGGCAAGTGCTCGGGTTTTAACCCGGCGCTTTGTTAACACCGGGTTGTAATCGGTTAAAACCCATTAATGCCCGAAATCGAGGGCAGAAGACTGTCACACGGTGAGCCCAAATGCCATAAATGCCAATAGTTTATGAATTATCAGTTTGAGCCTTAGAGGATGGAAAGGATCCATTGTATGTATATTGTGCCCTGTATTATAATATTAATATAAAGCCCACTGTGTGTTGTGTCAGCGCCTCCTTGTGAGTATAGTGTTCTGTGGTCAGCGCGGTGCCAGCATGGGCATACAAGCCTAATGGGCATAGATTAGAAAGCGGGGAAGGGGGTGAAACTGTGGGCTAAGGCAATAATCTAGTTTTTTTATTAGTTGGTTTAAGCTAATTTTGAACGCAGAAGTGAGAGTCCATAGGATTGAGTGTAGGATTACCTCTTTTTCGTCTAAAAAAATATTTTTTACATCTAAACTTCAAATAGAAAATAAGTATGAAATGATACCAAATCCACGTAATATAACGCGTATAATGTATACGTATAACGTATAATGAAAAAAAATTTTAAATAGTGGACATATTTCCGGAAAAATTTTTGAATAATTAGAAAAATCATTCCACAACGGCGAAATTGTGATTGTATCTATGATAAGAAAATTATAGAAAGAAACATTGACCTACCAGTGAAAGAAATTAATTCTGATGATTACCAAAACTATTTGAGGATGAATGAAGACACGTTCAATTTTTTGGTAAAAATAAAGTGGGATCAAAAATAGCGGTTTGTGAAGCGTGTACAGTATGCTACAAGGTGAATTCTCCTGACCGTTTTCGGCCACGGCAAGTGCTTCAGCTTCGCTATTGGTGGCGCTCGTGCGCTTTCACGTGACTCGCGTACCCAATCTTATTATTAAAGATCCGTGTGACAAGGTATATACTCTTTGGCTGGAGTCCCGCAAGACACAGGGGGTATCCAGCTTGGCATTGCGGGATGGCTGCACACTGCGACTATATTCATATTTGTACATGACGCAGAGGACGGCTAAGGGGCTGCAATGTAGAATAATGTATATATCCAAAAGGTAAAAATCCAAAGTCGATAAAACACTTTAAATGGCTGAAACACTAACTGCGAAAAGCCAAGAAAGAAGAAAAAAATAACCTATAAATCCAAAGTTTGTTGTTTTTGGTTGTTTTGTTACTTCTCTTCGAGAAAATATAATATTGGTTTAGAAATCTTTGCAATTCCCCAATATAACGTGCGTATAACTAAGTGCAATGTTGGGGATACGTCTTTTTCTCTGTAAAGTTGCAATCACCATCCCAGATGTCCTCAATCAACAAACAAGGGTAAGAAATGTACACTTTTAAAGTAGTCGAAATTGTTAGTTAAGATTATCAACGACAAATAAAAAATACTAGCAAATAATAACTCAAATTACTATATTGTATGTTTCATTACAGAATACATTTATTTTAAGAAGGAAGCATCCACCAGCTCTTCACAAAAAAGGCGGGCGACCACCGAAATTGCGGTCGAGACATTTCATTTACGACTTGGTGGAGGACACTAATACTATTAAACAACCAGACATGAAAGTGATTTTGACTCAGTTTGTTGACGGTAAGTGTGCTATTCGCTTATGAAAATTGAAATGTCTATATCGACGTTATGTAATCATTACAGGGTTTCACTCGAGTCAAGGTAAAAATGTACCTTGTTTAAACTATGCTCAAACTTAACATATAGCTCACGCACCTATTCCTAAAGAGGTGTATCATTGCTGGTCCAGTGTTGCCAGACTTTAGTGAAGTTAATTCGCCAGTTTATGTGTGTTAAGTAGCTGATATTCACCCTAGTCATAAAATCCCTAAAAATCAAGAAAAATAATTCTACAATTCTACTTGCTGCCGTACATTGGGAAATATGAACTCTCTTATTTCTCCAATTCCCCACATGTAGAAATACTCAAACCCCCCAAATGAGTTATTTTACAACTCCATTCCCCACAAAAGCCCCAATCAAATATGTTTTTCCCCAGACATTTTATTAAGTAGCCTAAAATCGCCTTTTCCTATTTCAAACATAGCCTAAATACCGCCGAGTCGCCGATCACATTTTTAGTCGCCGCGCGAGCTCTCGAAGTAGCCTAAATGGCGAAAAATCACCTAATCTGGCAACACTAGTCTGGTCTATGCAAGTCCTTCTGTGGCCGTAGCATGGCAGTATATGACATGCAATTTGTGATAAACCTCCCCGTGACATATTTATTTCAGTTAATAAAGCTATATTGCCATTATAATTTTTTTAAAATTGAGAATACTGAATGTGTCAAATTCAGCACCAAAGTCATTTTTACTTTGTTTATTTGGTAATGAACTAATATTTGAACTATTAGGATAACAATATGAAATTGCGTATTTATCTGTCTTTGTCATTAAACCATCACCGTGAAAACAACTAAACAAAAAAAGATGTGATTTTGTAGTTTCATTTTTTACATATTTTACATTATATTACTTGGGCCATGTTCTGCTAAATGAGTTATAATAATACCCACAAAATGACAGTTTTGAGATATTGAACATTAAAGATTTTTGGCAAATTTTTGTCATTACTGATTTAAATAATGATGTTTAGAGGATGAAGAATTATATGTCAAAAGATTTATATTCTGCCCTCAGAACGAAAAAAAAAGGCACAACTGCTGTATAAAGTACACATTTTTATAAAAAGTTACAGGAATTCCTTATAGCAAAATGCCCATATGACGTTAAAGAATTTTTAGAAGGTAATTAGAATATAAGAGAATGTTTTGTAATTTTATATGTTTCATTCATTATTCAATAAGACATTTATGTATTCCATTTATTAATTTGTAATTTACTAAATTCATTTCATTTTGACATTTTAAATTTTATTCTTATGTTATTGCAATGCCCTTACAGGGCTAATGTTAAGAACCGTCAATAGCTCTAGAACACCATGTACTACAACATTGATGCAATAAAGATTATGAGTATGACTAGTTGTGCCTTTTTTCGTTTCGTTACGAGGACAGTATTGAAGTGAGCATTACAATCAGTTTATTATTTTTTTAAATGGTTTATGCAAAATTCGATATATCAACAATATTATTACTTTGTGTGTCAAGGGTGGTTAACACATTTTTGAAAAATATGGAGAAGTCTGTATAAAGTGTCACTTAATCTTTTCCAATCTTAGTACAATGTACTTGTTACATGAAATAACCCTAAACTAATCAACACTTCTTTCAACCAACAAAATAGTGAATCCATTTATAAACTTAGGGTGAACTGCAGTCCCATGTCTGCTTGACTTCCCTGAAAGCTGCGCTCATAAATACAATAATAATATTTTTATAACATCATTTAAATTAAATGCTTAAAATAGTTATGTTTGCTTAAAGGAAACATGCTTTAATTTTTCTTAATGTGAATAAATGCATTTACAGATTTTTTCGAAACCTTGCTTCAGTCAGGAATCTAACCAACCAACTCTCACTATTTTCTTGTACTAATGGATAGGATCAATGTTATGTTATATATAATGTCTCTCATAAACATTGGGTCTTATAATTATTAACATGAAATTTATGCGTAGGTATAAATCATTTACAAATTATAATTTTCTTGCAGTCCCATCATTTCAATAAATTAACTTTTAAGTGCTCAAAATGGGATCCATTTTCTTCCATACACAGATTTGAAATGACCCATTCATTATCAATGTGGTGTGCGTGCAATTGTAGCGCACTTTTACACGCTGCGACTATATTCATAATCCTGCATTACATTATTATTACGACAAGGCGAACTGCAAGGCAGGATAATGAATGGGCCCCTTTATGTCTTTTGAGATTCGCTTGTGTATCCTTCTGCAAAATGATGTGGTGGATGCTAATAACATTTTGCACCTTAAGCCTCGACTCTTCTACAGTTTTTTTACATGGCAACCTAAAAAATGTCCAGATACTTGGAGGTCTGGAGATATTGCAGGCCATCTAATTGTCCCGTTCATACCTATCCCAGATATTGAAGTTATCATTAAAAAAACAATAGATATTCTGCTATTATGAGCCAAAATACAGTTTGATGAAATTTGTTATTTCCATCCTTCTCTGGTAGAATGTTTCATTTAAAATAATATGATGTGTTTTTTACATCTTAAAATAAACAGTGTAGGCAAGGTTATGTTAAATAGAGTTGTTATGAACTAAACATTTTTCATGGACATCTTTAATTGTACGACCCAATGTTTATTGACGAGATTTTATCTTTGTCATTGATCCTATGGATTAGTACAATAAAATAGTGAGTATTTATGTTGGAATTTTTAGTTGGTTCACAGTCACACTTTACGAATTATCTGTGAATGCATTTATGTAGGTAATAATGTTTCTAAACAAATAAATAGCCATTTTAAGTATTTAAGGCAAGTTCCGCATCATGTATCCCAATGATTTTTTTTCTCCCTGTATGTATTAATTGTTTTGAAAAACAGCTTAAGATCCCTCGTCGTCGCACCACACCTCGCGTGCACTATTTGCCAATTTAAATAACTAGTAAGGTGCTTTAACTACTTTAAAACTTCCATCATAATCATCAACCCTTTTATACGTCCTACTGCTGGGTACGGGCCTCCTCTCAGGCCAAGGGGTCGGGACTACACAAGTTTTCCGAGAGTTGTGAACCATCTTCGACGTGCAGGTTTCATCACGATTTTTTTCTTCACCGAAAAGTCGTGGTCGCACATAAATTGCTAGAAACTCGGAGGCGCAAGCCCGGATTTGAACTCACAGCCTCTGCTTGAGAGACGTAAGGTCAAACCATTAGGCTACGCTACCATGGCTTTAAAACTTAGCAAGTCTTAAATACTTGCTGTGTTTTGAATTGGTCAAAGTAGAGTAGCTTACTAGGTTTTTGACTGGTCACAATCCAGACTAGTTGTGCCTTACTAGGTTTTAAGGATTCTACATTTCTGGTAAATTGTAGGATTTTGAAGTGGCTGTTACTGCAATTTGGTGAGTAATTTAATTTCTATGGGAGTAGTATTCTGTCAAAAAATATGTTCAAAATAGGTTTTGCTCTGGGGCAACCATGGATGGTTAAACGTTAAAAGTTATTGATTAATTGCTGTGACTGTAAATGTATACCGCTAGGTATAACAAACTAAGCCATAGGTAAATTTTTAGGTAATTAAAGAACAGCCATTTTGTATATATAATTTTTTTAAGCTCCGTGCGATGTATAAAAACTGTACATATATATCAAAGTATACATATTATATGAAAGCATCATACTAACATAAATCCTAACATCTCTGAAACTAAAAATGCTAGCTTATTGATATCAGAAGTATTCTAAAAATCTTTAATTAAGCTCAACTAAATATTTACAAAAAAAATGTATTTGTATAGATTAATAATAACTTTTTCCAGGAGTGGGTAACCCAGGTGAAGTGCTGAGCCTCCGTCCTAATCAAGCATACAGGCAATTCCTCATGCCAGGACTGGCGGTTTATGCAAATTCGGATAATTTGGAGAGATATAAAGTTGATGAAGCAAAGCCTAAAATGGAGAAGCAGTATAGTTCCCCATATGTGCAGAGGGTACGTTTTATATAACAACATTGTGCCTACAAAACACTCTAGTATAGTAGGAAATAAGTTCATTATCTTGTCTTTTTGATCAAAAATTTATCTGAATTGCAAACTCAATTCTTGAATAATTGCATATTAAAAACATTTTGAATGAAACAACTAAATTTAAGAAAACCGCATTAAAAACATCACTGAATTAATGTGAATGTTCACCTCAGACTATGGGCTGTCTGTCTCGCCTTGTACTGCAAATCACCATGAACAAATTTCAACCATGGATTCTAGAACCTTGGCATGTGAGGGCATCATTACGCAAATCAGGTTTCATAGTCCCTGAGTACGCCATTGAAATGCCTCCAGAGCAAATAAAGGGGCCCGACCTATCACTGCAGGATAAAGAGTTTTATATCACTATATCTGTAAGTATTAGTTTAACTTATTTATTTGGTGTTAGTACATGTTCATATAGATAGTAGTCTAATATATTGTAAAACTGATTATTAAAGTACATTATGTTTCCAATTCTCATCGAAAAAAAAAAATGGTGTTATACATATATAAAATTATATATCCACAATGGTAGGATATAGGTAATCCTATATATAGGTAAATCCACTTGAGTGCTTTTCTTTTAAACAATGACATTGTATTCGTTGTTAAGCACATAGAAAGATTCGTAAGGTCCGCTATTTCGTTCCGTGGCTTAGTTGGCGTAGCTTATGACACGGTTTGCTTGAAGACGCCGGTTCGAATCATCGAGTCAGAAATAGATACGAAATGTCTTCTAATTTGTTTCAAAACTAATCTACCAAATCATTACAATTGACGGGGTGTCTTCAATTGTTTTACTTCAAATTACCAATTTAACTCGAGTTTTGCTATAATGGACGAAAATTGAAAAATTACATATTTAATTACGGATGAAATGTGATTCCCTTTGTTTTGTAATTAGATATTTTGCTGTTTCCACACCACAAGTACAGCTCCCCATTGTTAGAGATATTATCGTTATTACAATGAATACAGAATATTTTTGGAATATACGGAGACGTACACACAGGTCAGTTGTTGGTGCTGTACTATTTCAGCTTTCTAATTTGTGATTTCAGCGCAAACAAGAGTTTATATTTAATAGTGATATAAGGCCCATTTGGCTAAGTAGTTGCCAGGGATGGATGGCCCTTGTTTCGTCTCTATTTCTGGTTAAATACTTGATAGTTTCGAATCCAACCGGATCGAAGGAATTTTTTTCGAAGTGTTCTATCTTTGTATTAATAATTATTAAAAAAATACTTTTATAACTGATTTTCACGTCAGGTACAGTCAAGAGAACATCGAGCTTGAACTTTGAAGTTTGGACCATTCTTATCGCAAGCGGCATAGAGTTTAATTTTAACCTTTAGTGTCAAGCGTGACGTGCTCTTGACCCTGTACTTACTTACCTGCAGATGGATTTTTCTTGGTGGAGCATGGTTGGAACTATCCTGTAAACAAGCCACACACATGCCTCCATATAAAATATTTTTTTTTTATCTCTGAAACTATCTCGTTTTCAAAAAATTAAATAAAAATAAAAAGTTGACAGAAATGTTATTGTTATTGTTATTTAAATAAAAAAGAAATTGTTTGGTGTTCCACAAATCGATATACCCACCGAATAAATACACGTTTATTACGTGGGGCCTTCGAAACTATTACAATGTCGACGAATTATCAGTTTGGGCCCTTTTTGGGACAGTTTCATGATGTTTTTAGGTGGATTGAATAATTAGTCAAATAAGAGCATTTTTAATAATATCATTAAATTTGAACAAAACTCGATTCACAACACGATTTCACACGTTTAGTTCTAAATAGTTTCTGCTCTTTCGGGTGTTAATGATTTATAACCCGATTTGAACGCGGGTGCTTATCCATATCTGGTTATAATTGACCCTTGATCGCGGGTGCTTACCCATGTCTGGTTATAATTGACCCTTGATCGCCACTAATTCACTTTATAATTGCAGATAAATAAAACAGAGAAAGTAAATGTAAGATGTCGAATCCACCACTGGGCCACTGGACTCGACAAGCTGCCTTGGGAAGATCAGCATTGGAAGAAACCTAAAGAACCCCTCTTTCCAGAACAAGCCGAAGTCTTGGAAAAAATGCCGCTCCCTCAATGATGTCATAGAACAGAATTTAATACACATATTTAAGTTTAGAAAATAAATGAAATAAAACCAAAAAGTTTTTTAGTAATGTGTTACGTAAAACTTATTTTTTTGTACGAAATAGGAATTCAACTAAGGTTTAACCCAACGAAGATACAATGAAAATCTCCACTATTACTTTCCGCAAAAAATATTTTTATTGGAAATCTAATAATTTTTTTTGCGGAAAATTTTATTTTCCAGTTAACTAAATAACCGTAATACATTAAATTATACATATATAATCCATACATGCTACGAGATCTAATATTAATTAGCTTTTAAATAAATATAAATGCAATTCATAAAAAAATATATAGACTAGTCAATTTTAAATTTTTATTGAATTGATATTCAATTATTTTTTGTGAAAAGCATGCTTAGTTGGTTTAGCGTGGTTAGTATAGCGTCTGGCACGGTAAGCTAGAAGACGTCGGTTCGAATCCGACCGGATCGAAGGAATTTTTTCTGAGTGTTCGATCTTTGTATTAATAAATACAACAAACTAGTGGAGTAATTTCTCAAAAAATAATTGAATATCAATTCAATAAAAATTTAAAATACAGTGAATAGCGACATCTCTTGCCAGGACTGGTAACTGTAAAGACATCTAACTGGGTGATAAAATTTTCATAGATTTCTCACAGATGGCGCTACGACTAAAAAGTCTGAAAAAACCAACTACAAGATACGACGCATGCACATAGAAAAATTCGTGAGGTCCGCTGGTTCGTTCCGTTGCTTAATTGGTATAGCGTCTGGCACGGTAAGCTAGAAGACGTCGGTTCGAATCTGGCCGGATCGAAGGAAATTTTTCTGAGTGTTCGATCTTTGTATTAATAAATATAACAGACTAGTCAATTGTTAAAATCGGTGAAAAGACTAAGATGAAATGAAATATATTAAACCAAGCAAATAAAGTATAATAATATACCACGTATCAATGAAATCCAATTTACAAAGGACAAAGAAATAATCATCCGCACTAATATGAAAAGGCTCGAGGAAATTACAAATAATTACAATTAAACCATCTCTCGAAAATGTTTTTGGAACTTTACATGTTTTGTGGTTTTTTACATGTTTTAATTTTTCTAAATTGAATACTTTTAACACGTATACGGTGATGACATCTACCGAAAAGTATTCACTACAGTCATTGACTTACAAATAAATGGACGGGTCTAATACACAAACCACGAAAAAAATGTCCCAAGTCAACCTATTTAAACGTAGTGACATGTAATAAGGAATATGAAAAAGCTAAAACGTTGAATTTAAATTGTAATGTCATCGCAGTACTGTCTAATGTTGCTTGCTTCGCTGTCAGTCGAACAAACGAAGACTAAAGCGTGAATGACGCTCTGTATACGATTTTAACGCCCTATAAGTTTGGACACTTTTTAGCGCGGACCCGACGTCCATATAATTGTAAGTCATGACTACAGCGATGAATGAGCGGGGCAGTCGTTTAACGTTTTTTTTTTTGTAATTTTGAAATGTATCGAGTCACTCACACGGCAAACCCCTACTGTAACAGACGTTCCTAAACAATATACGAATATTTTTACAAGATATAATAAAGCCATCGAGTATATAACCAGAAATAGAGACGAAATAAGGGTCATATATTCCTGGTAACACATTAGCGATACGGCTCTTATAAATATCAACTCTCGTTTCCACTGAAATATAGACAGTCCAACTACTGACCTGTGTGTACGTCTCCGTATATTCCAAAAAATGTTCTGTATTTATTGTAATAAAGATAATACAACATAAAACAATGCCGTGCTGTTCTATTTGGTGGTTTGGGGAAAACAACAAAACATCTACTTACAAAACAAACGGAATCACATTTCATCGGTAATTAAATATTAAATACGTAATTTTGCAATTTTCGTCCATTATAGCAAAGCTCAAGTTAACTGGTCGATTTGAAGTCAAACAGTTGATGACACCCATTGACGATACCCGTCAATTGTTTCGAACTCGGGCTAACTAATCGGGGCGCAGTTGTCACAGTAATGACATGGCAGAATAGGTTTCAATCAAATTAAATGACAATTCGTCTCTATTTCTGGTTATATACTTGATGAATAAAGCCATTCATTTCGCCCCGTGTTACATAGAAGCTTACTATAGACAGGAAACGAGTAGACAAAGGAGAAGATATGAGGTTGACCACAGCGACGCACACACTAACAAATACTAATTATGCATAATTTACCCATATACGTTTCATAGCAGGTGACTGTACAGTCAAGAGCACATCAAGCTTGACACTTTGTACTTGGGACCGTTCTTAACGTAAGCGGCATAGAGTAGGATTAAAGTTTTAAGTGTCACGCTTGACGTGCTCTTGACCCTGTACAAGCTGAAAGAAAAATCGAATTGTTAGAAGTCAAAAACAAAAGTTATGTGCAATAATTATTTGAATTTGAGTCAGTACTACGGACTAGACACGTCGACGGCTCACGATTTAAATATATAGTAAAAACTTACGTTACAGTAGAGGATGTTATATGTGACGTAAATATTGATAACAAATCGGTTGCGTGGTAAACATTTACTTGGCTACTTTTACCATGACTTGTTCACGTTACACAGTTACACCACATTTTTATCGATTTAAAATTTTAGGTACCTACCTACTAATATTTCGGACTGTTACTATAACTATTTCATCTCCATTGGCTTAACCCCGGTATTGGCCGGCGATTCCGGAGCGTTTGTGTCTGGTGCTTCATTCTTTTCAATGTCTTTCTCCACAAAATCTTGTTCCTTATCTAACTCCTGCTCAATGGTTTGGGGGGTTCCAAGTATTTGCTGTTGGTGGTGATTTGACTCTTCTTCGTTGTAACCGTCGTACACCGGCTGAGCGTCATAATTTTGTTCGTAACCTTCGTGATAAGATTGTGTCTGGTCGTATTGTTGGTTTTCCTGTTGATATTGCGCTTCGTATTGATTAACATACTGTTGTTGGTAACTCTGATCGTAATTTAGTTGTGTTTCTGCGTGCTCGTTCACATCTACAGGATACTCCTGCCCTTGTTCGTAGTAATACTGATTTGGTTGTTCGTATGCTTCCTGTGAATACGCTGCATTTTCACCCGGCGGCTCATGCCACATATCTCTTTGTTCAGCTTCAAATTCTTCAATTCCTTTAACTGTAGGGTTTTCTTCTATTTCAGTTTGCCCGAGGTCAGGCTCCACCGTGTCATCTACGTTACCAGGCTGATGAGATAGTGTTACAGTACCATAGTTACTAGCTTCCTCATATCCTTCAGGATTTGTATTCACTGCTTCCCCAATGGCTACACCATCATTTGACGTGAATTCTTCAGGGTTGTATGTGTCATTTGTTGAGTATTGAGTACGTTCTGATTGGTCACTTTCCTTATATCCCTCATAATTTATATGCCCTCCATCTTGTAGCACAACATTTTCATTTGGAATAAACTCCTCATAGTTTATGACGTCTAATGGATATTGCGTTCGCTCTGATTGTTCATCTTTAGAATTTATATTAACTCCATCGTCTAGGACTACACCGGGGCGTGGTGTAAATTCTTCGGGGTTCATGACATTTATTGGATGTTGCATAGACTCAGATTGTTCACTTTTTTCTGTATACTGCTGCATAGAATTGTTAAACTCGTTTAGAGCATTAGTCGATGATTTTTGTTGAATAGAGCTATTATCTAGTAAAAACTCTGATTTAGCGTTATCCGTAACATTTTCTTGAGTTGTCTGGTAATCGTTATTTTCATGTTCCAAAGATTTAACGTTATAATTATTATGGATGTCTAAAAATTCACTGTTGCTATCACCGGCGTGGCCTTTACTGGCTTGTTTAATTTGTGTGTTGCGATATACAAACTTTGATTCTGAGTTCGATTCAATTTGTTCACTAGTACCTGCAGTTTTGAATTGGTCATCAATATCATAATTGACGTTTTCTCTTAGTTCCTGGATCATAAAGTCTGCATAACCTTCAAGGCGGTTATCGTCACATTTTTGGGGTTTGTAACATGATTGAATGGATATGGAATTTTCTGAGTGCACGTCTGGCAGCGTTGAGTGAGTTGCGGGATGACGGTTTGATTCATTTGTATCTTTCATTGGTTGTTCTTTTGTTGGTATTTCGTTGGTAACTGTAATTAATTTAGTTGGTTCTTTGTCGTTTTCTTTTAATTGATTCAAAATGTCATATTTGCTTTTCCAGTTAATATCGTCCGTACCAGATTTGTGTTGCGCCTGTTGTTGTTTTGGTTGCTCCACGTTAACCTCACTTACAGCCTGATTTTTAGGTATCAGTATGAACTTTTGAACTATTTCTTGAAATATTTGCGAGTTATTTTCAAAATTTGAAAGGTTCAAATTGTCGCCATGTGACGAGCACATGACCAAATTAGAGACGCACCTGTCTAGATAAGGTATCTGACGCCCTTGTAGTTGTGGTCCATAAGCACCAACAGAGAGATTGGGCTGAAAATTAAGAAATTGATAATATTTGCTTTATTACGGACTAGCTACTGTCCTATTGTGTATTTAAGTAAATAACCGTGTTTAGTTCTAAAACATCTCAAATTTACAAAGAAAAAGTCATTTTTAGCAGTTTTTAATAGTTTTTAGTAGTAGTTAGTAGCAGTAGCTCCTTGTGAAAGTGTTCGCCGAGGGAAGTACTGCCACCTTACCTAATTCTGCCGCCAAGCAATAATGTCAGCATTACTGTGTTACGGTTTTGAAGGATAAGGGTGCTGGTGAAATTACAGGCACATGGCACTTGTCAACTTATGTCTCACGGTGACGGACGCAGTGGCAGTGCCCCTTAGATCTATGCGATTTAAATAAACAAATAACGCACACACTCAACATTGCCCCGCACTGGGGAAATCCTGTGCCTTGAACACATACATAAACAACCACAAATCATGCCCAAAACTCTCGAGATAAATAAATGTAGGCCATAAAAATATTTCTCCCGGCCCGGAATCGAACCTGGGACCTCTGTGTAGCAGTCCGGCATGGTAACCGTTCGGCCACTGAGGCAGCTAAAGCACTGAGTGGCACTGCAACTGTTATGGACAGGCGTGTAGCATACCATCAGGCACACGACTTATTCGTCCTGTCACTTGATATTATAAAAAAAACGTTTAATTCTATAGCAAAACAACTCGTTCACTTCTTTCATGGATTGTTTAAAAAACTTGCTACATCATAAATTCGTGTTGAGGAATATTCACACTAAGTCAGATTAACCCTCAAGTAATTTTTTTGGCTTTTAAGTGTGTTTTGTCAAGTTTGAGGATAAAACAATCTTATAAAATTATATACGGACGGACATCTTAGATAATTATAGACGGACATTAAATTTTTTATACATAGGTACTTATGTTGCATTCACTGCCAGCATTGTTTTCCGAACTTTCGCCAGAATTGCCCGGACTTCGTTCAGTGCCGCAAACGCACTTGTGACTGAATGACCATTGCCCAGTGCCCTAAACGCAAATATGAGCTCATAGTAATTTGACATTGACTTGTTCTCTATTGAACCACAAGAAGGATTCTATATTTTCTATTGAAGTTTTAAAATTCTTGTATGTAATTTAAAAAATATGTAAACTTGGAAATGAATGTTTTATATAAATTTATTTTCTGGTTAACCAAAGAAAGTAAAAAAATCAGCTACGGAAAAAAATAACATGAAATTCACAAATTGACCAAAATCCAGACTGCTAGTTTTCACGAACCGAGTTATTGCTATAAGAAGTTTCCAACCTTTTAGTTTCAGTTTATTTTTAGTTATGAAAATCCTTTCACAGTCAAAAGGATGCAAGTGGAATATTAGCAGCATAATATGTAATGCAGGTATCACATATGCGTTGACGGCCCTGAGCGAAGTTTTCGAAATTTATGAACGCACAGTAGCGCAGGTGAATGCTTAAAATGATGCATTTAATTGAGGAATAACCTTACCTTATATTGTGGAACGAGAGCCTTACACGTACACATTTTGTCCAGTTTTCCCAAAATGTATTCATTTCGCTGTTTACGCTTCTTGTCCTCTTCTAAGAAAGCCTCAAATTTTTTTCTTATTGCCTCAATGCGGTCTCCTTTTATCCTAAAAAAGAGACTTTGTTATAAAACTAGTCTATTGACTTCAAGGTTCATATCCAAACATCATCTAGAGTCTAGACTATGTTGTGCATACAAAAAAGTATTTTAAAGACAAACTATTATATTAATATTTATGTACAACTATATACGCACTTCTTGCCTGATTTCCCCATAACTTTTAGTGTATTCAAAAATCCACAAACGTTTAAGGCACACGGGTGAGCACTAACATGATACTGATGTAAACAAAGCAATGCCGTCCGACCTTCGAGAAGGTTTCACGACTTGGCACACCCTGATACATAATGTCCCATAATAGCGACGAATTCTATAGGTAAACTTTATAGGGCTGGTACAGAAGTGCTTAAAATCGATTTTTTTCTTTTCAATTACGGAAGCTGAAATTTCATGTTTTAGCAGTGTAAATCCACATACTTAATTCTCGAATGGAGATTAGAATAGAATAGAGAACACGCATCTGAATTTAAGTAGAACCTGCTAATACACTTACAGTACACTTGGCCAAAATTAGAAATACATCCAAATGTTTTTTTCAAAGTCAAACCAAAAAGTCTGTGTACTCCAGATTCTCAAAAATTGCAACTTTCAATCAATTTAGCTTAGCTTTTCAATCAGTCAACTATTTCCCAAAGCAATCTTTAATATGTAATAAATTGGATATTTTCCGTTTTGTCGAATATCTTCGAAATAAATTGACAGTCTGATGTGTAAACAGCATGGGGCGGTGCTAGGTGTCTACTGGTACCAGTAACAGACGTCATGAACTACGTTGAATCTTTCCAAACGACCTTCGACCTTGGGTTACGAGATCGGTCACGAACATGTATGCAATTTCATTTCACCTTCTATTAATACATCAAGGCGTTTTGATTATTATTTTTGTGTAGTAATTATGAGGTACCACCAATGTTACCGTGTTGATGTTGCCGTTGCCATGTATTAATTTTATACGTGTAGGGTATAAGAGAAGAGGTATAATAATATCACGGATTACATACCGCGTCTGATTTAGATAATCTGTGAGAAATTTCATTTCATCATTACAAGCAGTGAAAATAATATTTCATTTTTATCATTGAAGAGTGTATTAAATTCAAAACAAATTTATCATAGTCCTACGGGGTGGTAGTTAGAATTTCGTCACTAGTGAATGTCACATGTCTCCTGCGCGGTCCTGTACGCCTAGTAACTATGTGTCATAGGCAAGGCAGCACGGATGTGAAGCGACTGTTGCCAATGATGTTGAAATGTTTTCGGCGCATCTCTTTACCTTTTATAAGCAGCTATCATACATCCGTGCTACTTGACTGTATTTTAAGCAGAGAGACAGGGTGGTACGTAGACGGCTCGAGTATTGAGAGAGACCACTGTATAGAAATTGTGTTGAGTCTAACGGCGCGTGACAGGCCCGAAGGAGCATAACCAACCACTCATGACGAGACCAATCAAGCGGATGACCTACCGTGCTATCATAGTATAATAAGACGAGTAGTAGTTGAACTCCAAATAACTGCAGCAGCGCGCCACTGACGCACACATTCGCATAATTTCACGGTGCTCTCGCGTTGCATAGCCCGAGTCTTGAATTGCGGCCGGGAATTAAAGCGTTCATGTTTTTGCGTTTGGACGAGAGTGCCTCAAATTTAGAATTGTTCATCATTTAATTTCTATTTCATAATCATACTCGTATAGGTAATAGAAATACCAATCCACAATGCTGATATGAAAATATTACTACGTAGTTATTTTGATTTAGCACGAGAATGCTGTGATGATGATGAACACCTTAATTTTTTCAGGTTCTGTTTCCAATCTGTGGGTTACTAATAATATGCGGTGTTCTGATAAATGAGTTAACCCACAGAAAATCGTTAATCTTATATCTTGGAACATGAAGTTGAATACACTTTTCACTAATATCATTAAAAGAAATCATAGCAATTGTGAAATCGAAAAATTCTTTTCACAAAACCTAGTTCGTCTTAAACCTAATTCAGCGAATTTCGCAAAAATGTGTTAAATGTGGTTAAACCATCTGTCCTGGCCCCCCATGGCCCCTGGGTAGCGGACTCGGGGGAGTTCAGCATGGAGGGGCCCGGGATGGAAGGCTCGTCTGGTGTTCGGCGAGCCTCACATTCGGAGTCGGGGGATCCATGTGTCTCCCTTCTCGGGGAGGGACTGCGCGGGGCGCGGCCAGCCGCTGGTGGGGCCGCAGACGAGTGCAACAGCGTACCCGTACCCCCACCTACAGCGGACAGGAGGAACACTCCGGGGGTTTATAGAGGTCGGGCTGCTCCCCTTCAGGGTTCAGCCCAGTCCCATATAAGCCCGGCTCTGCCCCCTGTAAGCAGATTCCCCCGAATTAACAAAAAAGAAAAAAAAAATACGAATAACAACACAACTTTCAATGTGGTTTCAAACTATTTTTCAACCGACTTAAAAAAAGGAGGAGGTTCTCAATTCGACTGTATGTTTTTTTGTATAACATACAATATAACATACGCGATAACTCCGCCATTTGTGAACCGATTCTGATGATTCTTTTTTTGTTGGAAAGAGGGGTACCTCCATTGTCGTCCTATTTAATTTTGAAGAAAACCATCCACCTCTAAGGATAGCCTTGGATGTTCACGCATTTTTCTCTCTCAATACACTTTGAGTAGTGAGAACCGATTTTTATTATCTCCTCTGTCAAGTTCCGTATAGTGGCGAACTAGGGGATGAATCCGGGTTTCTGCACTTTCCGGTAACCGATTTCAATGAAACTTGGCAAATAGCTGTATTTCCACGTACTTTTGAGGTCGGTTTTTTAGTACTCTGTACTGAGATTATTTAGATTCAGTTTAAAGTAGCTTTTTGACAAAGTAAGCACTTTAAATTTTGTTAATGATATGGACAGACTGGAAAATGATGAATGTATGTAGATTCTGAAACCAAGGAATGGGCGATTAGAATAAGGGAACTTTTGCAGCTAAAACAATGACGCACCTTCAGAGATATTTGATTCGAAAACTAAAAGCTAAGTGGCTTATGTCAATCTGAAAGAAAAGAAATGAAGGCGAACAGGAGTAAGACGAAGGTGATGGTAATTGACAGGGACAAAATTGGTAACGAGAAGATAAAAAAGTGAAAGAATTGTTACAGCTGGCTGGGTAGTCTATTGATAAGAGATGGTTAGTGTGAAGATCATGCTGAACGGAAAGTAATACTTAGTCGAAATCAAGTATCTAAATGGAGCTAAAAATGCCTTTATGGGTAGCCAGAACGTGTGACGAAAGTGCTGCTTCCAACTCTGATGTACGGTAGCGAGTATTGGGTATGACGCAAGAAGCATGAAAGTAGAGTAAATTTGTAGGTATTAAAGCTTTGTACTCAAAGCTACTATTGTACGCGTGGTGTTAGGGTGCTTTCAAATTAGGCGCTGATAGAAGTGCTACAGTGGCGCCACTGTGCGCTGCATCCGCGCCACTACTAATTTTCATACAATATGCAGAAGTAGCTGGAACGCCACAGTCGTAGCACGTATTTTTTTAGACTAGATATTGTATGATAATTAGTACTATAGCGCTTCTGTAATGTAATTTGAAGACGCCTTTAGTCTTAAAGAGAATGCAGAACAGAGTAATAAGAGAGCGTCGTGTAGTGAAAGATGATGTGGTCATGTTAAAAGGATGGCTGTTAGTAGATTTAAACGTTGGAAGAGATAGACCTCGATGTCTTGATCAGATTGGGGATGTCTTTAAAAAAGTTCAGGTTAAAAGTACCAACAATTATAAGGCACGTAGAGAATGGTGCGATTGAAGGAGGTGAATGTCTCGTCGGTGTTGTCAGGAGCGTAGCAAGTGGAAGTTTATGATCGCTGCCTTGAATACATATATGCTAACCTCAATGGTATATGGTAGTTATTGGTTTAAGATAATGATTACGTTTTGCTGAAAGACAGAATGTTTGGTAAATTAAGTGAAATGAGATACATAATTGTTCAATTAAAGTCTAGAGTCTGAACTCAGTATCTGGTCATTCGGATTATTAAGATTTACTAGTAAAAGAATGTGATCGATTGTTTAATACAACACATTCATGATAAAAATAAATACTGTTGTTAGGTACTTTGTTTCATACATGATCAATATGATAATGTGATTTCTCAGTGTTTGCAGGGATTAAGTGACATTTTTCCGAATTTTGCAAAAATGTGCAAAAACCCTTGACACATAAAATAATAATTTTGTTGATGTGTCGATTTTTGCATAAATAATTTTTATTTATTTACTAATCGTAAGTTTGATACTGGTTGTAATGCTTATTTACAATATAATTGTCCGCTAAACTTCATTATTTAAAAGAGTAACAAAAACTTGCCAAAATTATTTAATGCTCAATATCTCGAAACTGCGTTATTTTAACTTTTGGGTTAACTTTTCTAATCTATGGTTAACTCATATATGCAGAACACCGTCCAAATAATAATATGACAACCCTAGGCTCCGAGCGAAGTGTATTATAGTCATTGATGTGCCGCAGAGGCGGGAGTCTTGTCTTACTTATACTCTTTGGCAGGTTTTCTTAGCCTGTGGTCCACGGACCCCTAACAAATCAATAATGATTTGGGTGACCTCTTCTCCCCTATCTATCAAGGGAATTCACTCCGAGGCACTACCCGGAACATCCTTTCTAGAACCAATTTAGAAAAGTTCATTTTCCAAATTGGTCCTACCGGGAATCGGCACCCGGAACCTTTTCATCCAGCCCCCACAATTTAAACCACTGGACCACCGATCGACAAACTTATGGCAACTACTGGTTCCGTCGCAGAACAAATATAGTATTGTAGTCAACAAGTCAATTGGAAGTGGTGCAGAATTTGAATCTGTTACCATATTAATAATTAATGCTAAAGGTGACTACGTTCAGGCTTTGACTACTCGATAAATATTTGACTTTTTGTATTTAATTTAGTGGGAATTAATAAGTACAGCATTCATTACTCACATTACCCAAACCTGCTGGACAATAGTGGTTCTAGTTGCCACACACTGCTTAAGTTCTCGGATAAATGTATTACTCTTTAGCTCAAGTAGTTTCACAAATTCTTTGAACATCTGCAACGAGTATTAGCTATACAGATTATACCTTCTGAACTTTAAAAAAAACGGTAAATTTTCAATTATTTTAGACAATACCTTAAATACAAGCCGTGTTATTTGTTATAAATACGTTCGTTGTTATAGGTTAGATCACGAGCATGATATTTTGGACAATCAGTAAATAAAACTGATGTTATAGTTTTCTAGATTGATTTTGGACAAATGAGTAGACTGAAATATTAGCATTATTTCCTTTATGGCGACCACTAGGCTTGTGCCAGTGTTAGCCATAGCTAGCGAGTCGAGTTAATTAACTCGAGTTACTTCCACAACAAGTCCATTCGAACGACTTTTATTATGAACTCGAGTTAACTCGGTTCGGTACCCGCCGCCGAACCGAATACTTCACTCACACAGCGCGTAGCGATGGGCGAGTCGAGTTATATTAACAATTAATTATATTGGTTAAAGAAAAATAAATCTTTGTATATACCGTATTTTAATGTTTTTTCCATCCTCTAAGTATTTTAACTATATTTCATTTCTTAACACAAGCTGTTGTTTTTTCACAGATAATATTAATACGTGTCAAGACAGGAGTCATCTATCCCACAAAATGTGGACAAAAAAAAACTGCACAAGATACCGATATGATATGAGGTAAACAATGCATTCATTCTTTAAGTCGCAGTGACAAGGAACAAAATTCGCTTCAATCACAGACAACCTACATAAAAGGTGTGTCAATAAAAAGGTTTTCCAACAATGCGTAACATAGAAGATAGTACAGAAGGAAGTTTGCATCGATCAACAATCTATGCAATTACAATCTTCACACCCACACTTCTTTTAAGAATTGGATCGAAGGCCAATTCTACGAGACTGCTCGTTGAATGAGTCCGTATAGACGTTTTGTAGACTTGTCTGCTAGCTGAACTTGTGGCAACTTGCTTAAGAATCAGATCTCCTTTCGATACACATTCTCGAATGTAGAAGTGTCTCAAGCAAATGTGTTTTGTTCGACGGTGAAATTCATATGGCGGATTGTATGTCAATTTCACTGCAGACTCGTTGTTTATACACAGAGTTGCTTTCAAACCTTCTGTGTTGGTTGTCTGCTAAAATCTTCTTCAACCATACTATTACTTGTACCGTTTCGCTTGCGGCTACTAGTTCCACCTCTGTCGTAAACAAAGCCACTGAAGTTTGCTTCTGACTTTTCCAAGCGATGGCAGAGCCGTCGTAAAGGCATACCATACCAGTGGGAGAGTGACCAGTTTCAGGATCTCCTCCATGATCAGCATTTGAGTAGCTTCACTCTTAGGATAAAAAGTCAGTCCTTTTTCAAGAGCACCTTTTAAGAAGCGAAAAATTCGCTTTATACCAGCAATATCTCCCTTACAAGGATTCTCTAAGTGCATGGATACAACTGACACTTTTACTTCTTCATTTCTATTACTGTTCCATTTTCTGTATTTTGA